TTTCTCCAAACAAGGACCATGTATGGATATAACCTAAAAGCTCTGCTCAGAGGTAGCCCATGGTAGCTCAGTATACAAGCAGGTACCCTAATAAGGGGAACAGGGACTGTTTCTGACATGAACTCAATGGCGGGCTCCTTGACCTCTCCCCCCGAGGGAGGAGCACATAGGAGGACTTTGCAGGCAGTCTTGAAGATATCTGATAAACCAGGATCAGATGAAAGGGGAGGATGTCCTCCCTTATCAGTGGACTTGGAAAGGGGCAGGAAGGAAATAAGGGAGGGAGGGTGGGTTTGGGAGGAAAAGAGGGAGCAGGATACAGCAGGATACAGTTAACAAACTGTAACTAATATTAAACAATAATAAAATAATAAACACATAAATAAATAAATGAAAGAAAAAGAAGATTTCCCTGCAGGCAAGTCTTCAGAGCCTTTTCTTCACTGATGACTGATGTGGCAGGGCCAGCACACTGTGGGCAGCACCACTTCTGGGCTGCTGGTCCTGGGTGCTAAAAGAAAGTGGGCTGAGCAAGCCATGAGGAATAAGCCTGTAAGCAGCTCCCCTCCATGGCCTCTGCATCAGCTCCTGCCTCCAGGTTTCTGCTGTTTGAATTCCTGCCCTGATCAGTGATGGACTGTGATATGAGCTTTCAGCTGAAGTAAACTCTTCCCTCTCAGGGCTGTTTATGGTCGTGATGTTTCTTCACAGCAACAGAAACCTTAACTAAGCCAGGTCAACCAGACAACCCACTTTCGCTGGTGGAGTCAGCAAGACCAGTGCTGGGTACCAGCAAGAGCTGGTTGTCTAGGTTTCCTCATCAGGTGGACACTGAGACTTTCCGTTTGGTGCTTGAGACTTTCCTTCGGTTTCAGCCGACAGTCTATAGATTTGTTCTGAACTGGTTGTTGTACATGCTCATTTCACAGCATGTGGGTGCAGCACTGACTAGATTTGAGAATATTTGTTTGTTAGCATTTGACCTTTTCTCCCACCCATTCCTCAAATACATGGGGATTTGTTTTTGTCTGGTGGGTGTTTTTCTGTATGCCCTCCTGTTTTTCACAACCTCGCCCCTTTCACTTTACGAAGTCTATGAACTCTTGATCATAAAGATGATGAAGACAGAACGCACTTGTTCCCTGCAACCCAGCAGGGTGCAGGTGGCGGAGGTCCACCCCAGGATTCACAATAACCTCGGAGGGCCAAGACAACACACCGCCATCCTGGTTTATAAGAAACCTTGCTGTCCCAGCTCAGAAGACTCACCGAAGGGGTGATCATCCAGGGTCCTGAGCCCGCTCACAATCCGGAAGATGTGCAATATAAACCCAAGACACAGTAGAAGGACTGACTCAATTCTCATAAACTGCATGTAGATTTGATCCAAAATGCAAACTGCACCAAGCTAGAAAGTTGGTTGCAACTTCAAGCTGGGGGGTGGGAGGGGGGGAACACATTAAGATGGGAAATAGATGAGGAGAAAATGTTTGGAGAAAAACACCATTTGGTACTCCAGCTGGTTTTATGTTTGATAATTATGGCAATTTAACTTGCAAGTATTTGATAAAAGGGAGTGGGTTGGAGTAACTTTTTTTAAGGTTTATTTATTTATGTATTTTATGTATATGAGTGCTCTATTTGCATGTATGCTTGCATGACAGAGAAAGCACCAGATCCCTCTATAGATGGTTATGAGCCACCATGTGGTTGCTGGGAATTGAACTCAGGACCTCTGGAAGAGCAGACAGTGCTCTTAACCGCTGAGCCATCTCTCCAGCCCCTGGAGAAACTCTGACATACCTAAATTGCCCATTTTTCTCCTTACTAAACTAGAAGTCCTAGGCACCAGAACAAGAGATCATAAATGGATAGCCTACTTTAACTGGAATTTAGAAGTATAACAAAAGAAATTTTTAAAAATTCAATTTAAAAAATGCTATCAAAAAATTGTAAAGATGTTAAAGGAAATTCATGAGAATTTCAGGGCTGGCAATACAGCTCAGCAGTAGCTTGTCTCACACGTGCAGACTCTTACCTCAACTACTACTACTGTGTTTTGCTTTTGTTTTAAAGAATTTTAGAGACTGAAATTTAGAGTAACTTTCCTAAATCTTTACTTTTTCTGTTTGTTTGTTTTATTTTCAAGATTTCTCTGTGTAGCCTTGGCTGTCCTGGACTCACTTTGTAGACCAGGCTGGCCTCTGCTTCCCAGAGTGCTGGGAGCACAGGTGTGCGCCACTGCGCCTATCTAATCCCTTACTCTCATTTACTCTTCTCACTGCTTCTTTCCCCTTACACTCCTCTTCTAGTCTCCTCTCCACTAAGCCCCACACAGAAGAAAAATCTGTAACAAAGGAAAATTATAATACTGCTCAGATAAATCCTAGAGGGAGCAGAGATACTGATGGTATCTAATCCCTGGACAAAAACTGGGCTGAGAACCCCAATTATGGGATTTCTTGAGTCATATCAAGACACTGTTGGACTGAGGTAGCATGTGGGGCTTTTTCTTAATCTTTATTATTATTTTCTAACCGTTCAGGTTTCGCAAATATAGGACTTCCAGGTATTTTTTTAATGGGATTCATGAATGTGTGAATGAGTGAATCTTTGTGTCTCTCTGTGTGTATATCTGTTTCTTGTACCTTTTCTTGGGCTCTTTTCTTTTTCTTTTTTTTCCTATCCCAATTTGTTTCTATTATCCTCGAGATGTTTTTTTCCCCCAGAATAAAATGCAGCTTTATTATGATATAGGAAAGAAGAGTCAAAATGACAGGGGAAAGTGACATTGTCTGCCTTTCTTTTTGTGACAGGGTTTTCCTCTTTCTTTCCTCGCTCCCTCTTTTCTCTCTCAATAAATAGACCAGGCTGGCCTCAAACTCAAGAGATCAGCCTACCTCTGCCTCCTGAGTTCTGAAATTAAAGGCCACTATGCCCTGGCTTCCTGAAGATTTAAATTAAAAAATTTGTAAGTTTTCTTAAGATTTGTACATCACCTTATTAACTTACAAACGAGTGTTCTCTGGCTTTTCCTAATGAATCAGAAATTTCCACATGCAAGGGCAGCTCCCTCTGTTGCTCTCAAACAAGGGAAGCTACTAACTTACACTGACAAGTTTCATCTTTTGACCTTTCTGCTTTTCTCTGGGCCCTTCTTACATCTCAAGGACATGACCATAAATTTACTACTTTGGTTCTTTCTATTGGGTACTTTGTAATTTAATGTAATTGTATTATGTTGTTGTTGTTTCAATTTCTTTTTGTGTTCATGATAATTACTAGTTTCATGTAACTGTTTATGTGTCATTTTGTTTTATATCTGTAGGCCTATGTCCACGGTCTGACATTCTTATTTGTTTTTCTGTCCCTCGGTCTATCTGGGGATTTCTTTTCTTGCTTCTTTTGAAAATTAACATACAAACGGTGATTACTCAAGATTACTCAAGATATCTCAAGTCCATCTTAGTTAAGGTACAGACACACACATTGCTAAGATTTTCTTTTTCTTTTACTTCCACGGTTTGAACAAGGGCCCTTAATTTTCTGGTTCTGGGGGCACCAGGCAGTTAAATCACACTCATCCTTCCACACTGTCATTCTTGACACCCACACCTGTAAATGCCTCATTTCCCAGGATTTCAAGTTTTAACCACTTGTTGACCCACTGTCCTGGACTGACTACCTACACTTCTATTCTGCAACAATCATTGCTCTGTGTTTTTGAGGCAGGGTTCCAACTGAAAATCCCAGCCTGACATGGAACACTCTAAGTAGACCATGCTGGCCTTGAAACTGTGGTGATCCTGCTGCATTTGCCTCTCAAGTGCTGGGACTACAGGTGTGCAGCACCATGCCTAGCCTACTACGTCATAGTATAACTAAGTTTCAGAGGAAAGTTATATCATCTTGGAACTAGCAATGTTTACTGTCTTTAGACATATGTTGTGGGGAGCAGAGGAAGCCCAGAATTAGTGAAGTGTTCATCAATGTGTGCTGTTGACATGGTCATGGCATAAGGCTTAAAGGGCTTGCAAAACTTTGCCTCAGGGGTCTAAGTGTGAATGTTGATAGCATATGCAGAAAATGTCCACTGCTGTGGATATAAACATGGTTTTCTTTTGGTCCCAGGTGTGGGATGTGGGACTGATTCAGATGGTCCACAGCAACAGACTATTTGCTTCATGTGGGCTCTGAGAGGAGCTCTTTGCCAACTGCAGATAGTTTGAATCTGAGGACTCTAGAGAGAGAATAAATGCCAGAGCCCAGAGAGTGTGGAGAAGAGAAAACAAGGCTTCTCTTGCTTCCCCTTTGCTGCCATGAGACAAGAAGATGGAGATGTACTAAAATGAGGACTGGTCCTGGTCTGGCTCCAAGGAACCTGACAACCCTGACCAGCAGGAAGCAACTAAGAAAACTGCTCCCCCTCTCCCACTAACCCTTTCTCTCTCCTACCTGGTGTTGGGGTGTTAGAAGGGATTGGGGTGGAGTAGGAAAAAAAAAAAAAAAGAAATGTAAATAAAAAGAGTTTGAAAAAACTAATGCCAACAGCCCACCATAGCTTTCTCCTCTTGGATTTTAAAGTCTGATGACTGCTCCCCTACAGAGACTGTGTCTACCAGTATTAGCTAAAGCTGCCTCCTGAATTCAACTGTATACAATAACCCCACCTCCCTGTTCAACTGTAGGTGATAAACACACTGACCTTCCAGGGTACTGCAGTTTCTTCATCAGAGAGCCCAGTCATTTCCCTGTGTCTGGGTTTGTCTTTCCATTCCCTCATTTTGAGGCATACTGGATGTGGCAATATGTTATTTGGTTTGTTTACTAAATAACCCCCTGCCATGGTTTGATTCTGAGTGACTTATAAGCGTTCATGTATTATAAACAGTCCAAATTCATTCTAGTTCATAATATTATAAAAAAAAACAAAAAACCCTAAGAACTTAATTTAAATTTGTTGGTAAAAGAAAATAAAAACACCAACAGGAATAGTAACATATTTTTGCTTGTCATTATTATTAGATATTTCGGATAAAATGTCTTTTTTTTCTGTATACATACAGCTTCCTGGGCTTTCATTAAAATATAGTTATTCCTAATAAGGAAATTACCTAAGTTGAGAAATTTTTTAAGAAAAATAAAACCACCATTAAATATGAGAGAAAGGTATAAATGGTTTTTTAAAGATTTTCTTTCTTTCTTTCTTTTTTTTTTTTTGGCTTTTCAAGACAGGGTTTCTTTTCTCTGTGTAGCCTTACTGGCTGTCCCGAATTCACTTTGTAGACCAAGCTGGCCTCGAATGCACAGGTGTGCGCCACTGGAAAAAAATATTTTTAAGAAAGGATTTTTAGATGTAAAATATAAAATACAGATTTTTTTTGTTTCCTGAAAAGAAAGAATTGTCCTAAAATAGAAAAGGGAAGGAAACGTCCAAACCAGAAAGTTTGTTGCAAAAGGTCTTCCAGGTCATGAGGTTTGTACAAGATAAAGCTTAAATGATAATATGTATAAATGTTTGCTATAATTAAAGACTATTAACTTCCATAGGTGAAAATTAAATGATGCTCTGATGTAAGAGCATCTCACTTTTTGGAACAATAAGGTGTTAAATTTAAAAAGAAAACAAAGAAGATCCAAAACAAGCTTAGGCCAGATGGGACAATGCACCTTTAATCCCATGGCTCCCAGCACTCAGGGGGCAGATGCAGGCAGGTCTCTGAGTTCCAGCCAGTCAGGGATTCAGTGGGACCTTGCCTTAAGAAGAAAAAAGGCTGAGAGAACAAAGACATTATGCTTCATCCCTTACTGAATGAGGGACCTGAAACTTTAGATTTCCTCCAAATGCTTCCACCGCAATGGTAACTGCTTCGCCGGTAAGTCTGTGTTTCCCCACTAAGTCAGAAAGCCAGCCTCAGGAGTAGGGTAGTTGCTATGAGAAAGAATCAATCCTGCTTATTAGCCACGCCATTGTGTAAAACTCCTTTGTTTTAGAAGGCCGTTGCTTCCTTCCTGCCTGTCCTTTGCAGACCTCATACTGGGGTGTTCCTGATAAACTGCATGGCAACTGTAGAACCGATCTAATGATCAAATATTAACTATTTGGCCCATGTATTTGGTAGAGGAATTTTAATTTAGAACATGGCTATTCTGGAAAGAGATCACATCCGAAGGCCTAAGATAACATTCCAGGTTTGTGTGATCGGGCTGGAATACAAACAGACTTTTAATCCAGGAGACAGAGGCAAGCAGATCTGAGTTCAAGGCCAGCCTGTTATAAAGCAAGTTTCAGGTAAAGAAAAGCTTGGATGGTACATGCCTTTAATCTCAAACAATAAAGGTATGAAAGTCTGTTTGAAAGTGATGTCTAATTGAGTGACAGAAAAAGTGACAAATCAGGGAAGATTTGACAAAATAGATTTGACAGGGAAGATAGAGGAAAGGGAAGCTTCTTAAGGGGCAGTTTTACCAGGACAGTTACAGAGAGAGGCTAAATGAGAGAGAACAAGCTACACACAGGTGAAGACCTAATGAGCCAGAGAATGAAAGGGAGCCAGAAGATTAGAAAAGACTGTTGGAGATACTTTGAGGGCAAGCAGAGCAATTCAGAGGGTGAGAGAGAAGCCAGATTGAATAAGTCAGCGGGCAGAGGAGCTTGAGCCAGAACAGCTGAGTTGAACCCGCCAGCACAGAATGCAGAAAGAACAAGAGATGATGGGCTTATTAACAGTAAGTCTCAGAGGCTAAAAACATTCTAGGCCTAGATTAGATCATATGGAAGCTTTCAGGACTATGCCTAGGTTAGCAGACAGAGGCAGTAAGCCTCCCAGACCACAATTGAACCAGGAAAACAAAAGTTCCTTTTACACTTTAATCATCTGCATTGATGGTTAAACAAATGACATTATAAAAAAAACCGTTTCAAGGGGCTGGAGTGATGGCTTAGCAGTTAAGAGCTTGGGCTGCTCTTCCAGAGGTCCTAAGTTCAATTCCCAGCAAGCACATGGTGGCTCACAATCTATAGTGAGATCGGGGGCCCTCTTCTGTCATGCAGGTGTACATGAAGATAGAGCATGCACATACATAAATAAAATCTTAAAAAAAAAAAAAAACTGTTTCAAAATTAACTAAAGCTTTTAGTTTCCTTTTGCAAAACAGTATTTCAATGGTCTCCTAATTTGGGATCAAACCATTTTAGAAATCAATTATTTCCTCATAAAGCAATTGCTAGGCATCCTATAAAATGGCCAAAGTAACATATAAGCATCCTTTCCACATTGAACTCACAGAAAACAAATAACTAAATAAATAGGAGCTAAACCCAAATCAAATCAAAGGTTTCCTATTAGACATGTCTAACCACCTCCTGTGCTACAGAAATTTAGAAAGTGGGCTGGACATGTTGGTGTACATTTTTAGTCCTAATACTCTCCTTAGGAGGTAGAGACAGGTGGATTTCTGAGTTGGAGGCCAGCCTGGTCTACAAAGTGAGTTCCAGGACAGCCAAGGCTACACAGAGAAATTCTGCAGATAGATAGATAGATAGATAGATAGATAGATAGATAGATAGATAGATAGATAGATAGATAAAACCTCATGAACTAGAAATGAAATCATATCCCGTCTGGCTGAAGAATAGTATGGTAGAGAGGTTTTAGAGGGTTAAAATGCCTGTTTCCCTCATCTACAACCTTACCATTTCTTCTTCTTGGTTTTTTAGATAGGGTCTGTCTGTATAGCCCTGGCTGTCTTGAAACTCACTATGTCTGTAGAACAGGCTGTCCTCCAACTCACAAAGATCTGTTTGCCTCTGCCTCCCAAGGGCTGGGATAAATGGCCTGCATTATGCCTGACTTAACTTTGCTTCTTTAGGTCATTCTCTGTTCTTATTTTAATTGTAGATCTAGTATTCCTATCATATCTGCATAAACATCAGATGGAGAGGATAAAAAAAAAAAAAGAGAGAAGAGTAAGACCCAGGCAATGATGGCTAACAATACTAATATGTCCCAGGCTTTTTAGTAATTGTTTTTACAATTATTTCTCTCTCCAAAGAGTGCCTCCTGCCTGCTCAGATTCATCTTTATCAGGTCTCTAGAACAGGTCTGATAGCACCATGAAACAGATATAAAGCAACATTTGGAATGGCCAGTTGGCTCAGTTGGTTAGATCATGGTGCTAAAAAAGTATTTAGCCTACGCATGAACAAAATGTAATGGTTAGCCAACAGAAGTGTTATTGGAAGTTCCCAGGAAAAAAGCTATACCCACATTGAACATTCTCCCAGGCTGAGTGACTGCCTTATTAGAACTCTGCGACTGTGAAAAGTTAGGATGCTGCAAAATCAGAGACAAATTATCATAGGCTATTTTGGTCACTTTAACAGACACTGATTGTCACCTCTGCGTCTGACCCTCTATCCTCTGACAAACCAATGTTTGGAATATATTGTTGGTAGACCACCAGCTTCTACCAGCCCAGAAGTGAAGAACGTTATTGGATAGTGTCTGAGACTTAGAGTGGAGCTTCCCCACTTTACTGTAACCCACACCTGCAGTCTCCACCAGTGTATTTCGTCTATGCACTGAGCTATGACCTCCTTTTGTTTTGTACTAATAAAAGCTCAAACAGCCACTTCCATGTCCCTGGGGGCAACCTGAACCCATGTTCCTTAGCCATGGACCCTTACATTTGACTAAGAATAAACTATCTATTATTCCCCTTGAGATGAAAGATGTTTTGCATCAGCAGTTCTGGCATCCAACACCGAATCAAAAGACAATCCAGTTTCACTGGGGGAGTCACCCAGAGTGCAGAGGAACTAGCACAAGACCTTAGTTATATTGGAAGCTATGACTTTAAATCAACATTGGGGAAATCATCATCACCTTCTCATTTTATAATAGGGTCATGTCTCTTATTTTACATATATATACAAACACTTATATACAAAAACCAACATTCAGAGAATCCAATGGGCAGGCAATTTTAGGAAGTCAGGAATACAGAAGAAAAGCCAGTCACCAGATTTTACAAACGGTCATCTGAACTTCGCTGGCCATGGTGTAATACGTCATCCCAGATATGCTGCAATCCACAGGTCTTCCTTTGGAACTCTGAACCAATCAATAACCATACTTGTCATTAAGATGGGTTCTGCCATCTCCACTTTGACCTACATCAAAACAAACAAAAAACAAAGAAATGTATTTAGTTTTCCAAGTCAAAATGAAAAAATATTCAGACATTAATGGTCAAAAGCAAAACAAATAATGCAGTTCCTTTTACAACAGAAAATTTACTTAAAAACCTTTTCTTGGTTTTTCAAGACAGGATTTCTGTAATGGAAGTTTTTTTTTTTTCTTTAAAAACTCAGCTATGCTATATAAATGTTTTTGTTTTAATTCCAAGTGTAGGATTTTAGTTTGGGCATTAGCTTTGATAAATGCCTCCTGTAGGGCATGGTCTTTGCCAGCTGGTAACAGCCTGCCTCATGCAGCACAGAGAGGGGTGTGGTCTAACACTCTGAGGGATATAAATATGAGAGCCCAAAAAGAGAAGGCGTGGCTTCATCTACTAACCCTGTCCAAATGTCTCTTACTCTTCACTACCAGAGCATTTACAGGTAAATATCAGAGGTCATTACATCTATGAACATGTCTAAAATATAAGGACATTTTCCAAAAAACATCATTCAATGTCATTCAGACCTTTAAAGAATTAACAATAATTTCTATCAGCAAATATTCAGTTAGCATTCAAATGTGTGTGAATGTCTCATTACTTTACAAAAATTATTTTTACATATTTATATGTAATATAAATATTTGAGGTTAGCTCAGGCTAACCTCAAACTTGCTAAGTAGTAAAAAAAAAAAAAATGACCTTGAATTTCTGATCATCCTGCTTCTATGCTTGAACGCTGAGATTAAAGGCCTATGCCACCACACCTGGCTTATGCAGTGCTAGGGATTAAGCCCAGGGCTCCATGAATGCTGGGCAAGCACTTTACCAACTGAGTTTATACATTAGACCATTATAATTTTCTAAAAGTTGTTTAAGTAAGGATCTACATTGGATTTACCAATACCACCCAGTAACTGTGTCTCTTTACACCCTTTAATTCCATCAAAAGAGAGATCTGCTAAACACTTTCATTGCTTTTAAAAATATATAATCTACTTAATATAAATAGGGGCCAGAGAGATGACTCAGAGGTTAAGAGCACTTGCTGCTTTTGCAGAAGACTCGAGTACAGTCCCCAACACCAAAATGGCAGCTCACAACCACACATAACTCCAGCTTGAGGGGATCTAACACCCTCTTCTGGCTTCCACAGGAAACAGGCATACATGCTGTACACATACTTACATGTAGGCACGTACATACACATATACATACATCCTAAATGGAAGCAAAAATAAAAACTGTACCTTCAGGTGGGACCCATACACAGTAGTCTGGGTCATCCTCAGGGTATTTGGAAGAAAGTATAGGTGGAAGCTGCAAACAAGAAATAGACTATTTTACCCACGAGAGTTGTTTGCTGGGACGTGTGCTCATCTACCTAGGATTACAGGTTTGTCCCACCATGTGTGACTCTAAAGACTTCTAGCTGTAAAAATTATTATCTCTATGCCTGCCAGTAAACAAAACTAAGAGACAACAGTTCTCATGAATGATCCTGACATTAGTAACTAATTTGAGGGCACATTCTCTCTCGGATTTTCTATAAAGCCAGAAGTCAATGTCAAGCGTCTTCCTCAATTGCTCTCCATTTTTATCTTATTTTTGAAACACAGCCTCAGTATGAAACTTTAGTTGGCCTGGAACACGTAACATATACCAGGCTGGCTTCAAAGTCACGGAGGTCCACTTGCCTCTGCCTCCTAAGCTCTAGGATTAAAAACATGCACCACCATACCTGTTCCACTAATCAATCCTTCATTTGCTCATTTATTTATTTACTTACTTACTTATTTACTTATTTTTTGTTTTTTTTTGAGACAGAGTTTCTCTGTATAGCCCAGGCTGTCTTGGAACTTGCTCGGTAGACCAGGCTGGCCTCGAACTCAGATATCCAACTGCCTCTGCCTCCCGAGCGCTGAGATTAAAGGGGTGCAGCACCACACCTGGCTTTTTTTTAACTTTTTTTTTTTTTAAGATTTATTTATTTATTTGTATGTGAGTACTCTATCTGTATGCACAACCTGCACGCCAAGAGGGCACCAGATCCCAATATAGAAGATTGTGAGCCACCATGGGGTTGCTGGGAATTGAACTCAGAACCTCTGGAAGAGCAGACAGTGTTCTTAACCACTGAGCCATCTCTCCTGCTTTTTTTTTTAACTTTAAAAATTATATTTATTTGTGCTTTGAGTGTGCATGCCCTGGGACACATGTGGACATCAGAGATCAACTTGCCAGAGTCAATTCTCTCTGTTCACCATATGAGTTTCAGGAGCAAACTCAAGTTGTTAAAACACTTGGCAGCAAGTGTTTTACCCGCGAAGCCACCTACCATCCTTTTAGACAGGTGATTCTGAACTGAACCTGGAGTTCACTGATTTGGCGGGTTGGCCTGTCTGCCTCCTCAGCCCTGGGACTGGAGACATGCTGCATTTTTATGTGTGTGCCGAGAATCCGAACCTGGGTCCTCACAACTCCCCAGCAAGCACCTCACCAACTAAGCTGCCTCTGCAGCCCCTGTCTAAGACTCTTTAAAGTGGTGTTAATATCTGGTCGGCTGAGGCAGGAGGGGCGAGTATAAGGCACTCCTGCATGACAATGCAAGTCCCTGTGTCAAAAACAGTAACAAAAAAAGCACAAAAAGAAAGAAAAACAAAAGGAGTGGTAAGAAAAAGCTGGCATTTGCCTCTGACCTTGGCAGAGAGAGCGAGCAGGGCAAGTCTGATTCGTATCCTTTTAAGACTATTGACAAGGTTGGCCTTTGGCTGGACTGTGGCCTGGGGTTTGAGACATGGACCCTAACAGATATGGGTGGCTCACTGTGGCCCTACAGAGCACTCACTGTGGCCCTGCTTCCCTCCTGTGAGTATGGAAAGTGGACGCATGCCAGATAGGGACTGCCTTAAGTGATACACCCTAAATAACACCCTTGGTTCTGAGTCCATAAATGAGCTTCTCCAGTTAGCAACACTTGCCACAGCTAGTTACGAGCGAAATTAAGCACATCTCATGTCTCTAGTGGAAGAGGACTCTTTGAGCCTTGCATATGGCTGCATACATTTTTGCCCTGGCTGCCTTTCCTGTTGCTGACTGTGCCTGCTATCGTTGTGCTGTAAGGAATCCCAGCTGCCAGCACAACAGCACACTGAGCCCTGGGAGTCCTCTAGTGCTTTATTCCAGAATGATCCCGGGACCTGACATAATCCAACAATCCCATCTCCAGTAGCTTACACAGCCACACAAAGTTAAACACACATAGGACTACTTACTACAGCATTGGTCAAAGACCGAAATACCCCACCTGTCCCTCTCTAAGGACTGAGCTAAGTCAGAAGCTCTTAATATATCAACATGATTTCCACAGTGGATTAAACATTTAAGGTTACAATGGAAAACATCAATCATACTTTTGTATCACAAAGGAGGACGATAAGAACATGCTATTCAACTTCTTTGCATTAACATACAAGATATGAGAAAACATTAATAAATGAATAAAAGGTATCCTGTAGGGTAGATGAGCAGGGTAGATAAAGAATCTAAAAAATGAAAATTAAGGAGAGTCCAGATCTCCGCAAGGAGTTAATGCTGCTGAACCCCACAAAGCAGTCTCAAGAGTCAAAGGCCCTCAGTACTATCTGTTTTCACAAGAGTGAAGTACTTACTTTGCTTGGACCAGCAGCTTTCTTTTTCTTCAACTCATGTCTGACTTTTTTATATTCATTCTCTGGTACTACTTTAAGGAGGGGAAAAAGTAGAAATAGTTGTTATCAGAAAAGGTAAAAGCACTACAGAAAGACACTCCCCCTGAGATGGTGTGTGACTGAAGTCACAGAACTTCAGTAATTGGCATTTCTACAACTATAAGACGTACAATAAGGCTCAGAGAGCACTGGTAGACTCCTAACTACCTGTAACCCCAGCTGCAGGGAATCCAACGCCTCTGGATTCCATAGGCACTGGCACTCATGTGCACATATCCACATGCACACAGACACACTCACATAATAAAAATAAAACAGATTTTTAAAAAGTATATATATTAAGAATAAATAGTTAAGAGTGCTTGCTGCTCTTCCAAAGGACCAGAGTTTGGTTCCCAGCACATGTCAAGCAGCTAACAACCACCCATAATCTAACTCCAAGGGAATCCAATGTCATCTTCAGGTCTCTGCAGGCACCTGCATATACGTAGCACGCATATAGCATATAGCATGTCTGTAGCACACAGACACACACACACATAAATCTGAAACATACAAGTAGAATAATAGGCAAGCAAAATGGTACCAAACACAACCCTATTCCTAGCATTTGTGTGGCCATTTTCTTTTCTGCCTCCAATGGCAGTTGCTGCCTCTCCCTCATTATAATACCAAGTAGCATCTGTGTGCGGAGCAGCAATAGAGTCAGCTATACCACTTACCTGAAGGATCCTCAGCGCATGACATTATTTTGCCCATCTCTTGACAATCTTTACTCTGTTCCACTTGGCTGAGTTGAGATATGTTTTCTATAAAAAGCAATGCCAGGGCATATTGTTATTTAACAGTAGACTCCAAAACAGCAAAAACAAAAAGCGCAGCTACTTACTGCTATGGTCATTCAGTTAGACTACCAGAAGATTCAGTTTACCTTAAAGTCTTCAGTAAACGAGTCTCCAGAAGTCTAGCAGAACCACCAAAGCTATACTTTAAAAAACTCTGAAGTAAAAGTTCGTAGTGATTTTACAACAAAAAGCCTTAAAAATGTATATACCTACCTCTTAACTTACAAATTTAACTTCTGGAAATATATATTTTAAAAGATACCAGAATTAAGCATCAAGACTGATTATTTTTTTTTTTTTTTTTTTTTTTGTCTTTTTGATTTTTTTTCAAGACAGGGTTTCTCTGTGTAGACCTGGCTGTCCTGGAACTCTCTCTGAAGACCCACCTGCTTCTGCCTCCCTGAGAGCTGGGATTAAAGGTATTCACCACTGCCCGGCTTACTATTTACATTTTTACAGCAGCAGAAACTAATAGTGCCATGTTGATCAGTTAGCAGGTAAAGACACTTGCTGCCAAACCCTGATGGGCAACCTGAGTTCGCTCTCCAGGACCCCTGAGGAAAGTCATGCTCTGATATCCACAGGTACACATGGCACACACCTGTCCCCCCACCACACACAGTCAAGGTCATTTAACATTTTCCAAGCAAACCTAAAAAGGACTAAATATTTCACGTTTAAGAGGTAGAAAGTAATTAAATTGTGACATATACAAATACTGGACCACTACCACCCTTAGTAAAAGACAATCATAATATAAAAATAATATTTTTATTATTTCTTATCTGTGTCACAAAGCCAGGAAGACAGTTCAGCAGGTAAAGGCACTTGCTACCAACCTAATGATCTGAATTTGATCCCCCACAATCCATAATGGTGGAAGAGAACCAGTTCCCACAGCCCTCTGACCTTCACATGTATTCCATGGCACTCACAGACTCATACATATAGAAAAACAAATATAATTTTACAAATTAAAAAATATTTTTATGACATAGGAAAAAAGAGGGCTATATATTCTGACTATGATTCAGAGTCCATTTATATAGACTATTATTCAATTTTTAAAAAAATAAGAAGACAGAGGACCAATAGCCTAGAATAATCCCTCATCAACTATGAATTTACTAATTATTTTACCTTTAAGGTTTTATAACCAACTGTTAAAACCTGTGCTTGTGAATAAAGTTATTTCATTTATACTGACAATTCCTAGAAGACTATACACTACCTAACAAAAATCCCAGTACTGGACACGAGAAACTTTTATCCAAGTGGTTGGTCAGGGTCGTGCAGGTGACGCCCCAAACAATATAAGCTATGGCTATTGTCCTTCGCTGCCTCCCAGAGGTTGAAGCTAAGTCCCTATTGCTAAAGACACTGCACACTTCGGACACCAGACTAGGCGACCGGAGCTAGATCTATCAGGAGGCCTTGTCCCTGTAGCCTGGCTTCCACAGCGTCAGAAAGTACTATGTAAACTGACAAGGGAGGGAAGCCATTAGTAGTCCCATGAGCTGTGGCAAGTGTGAACCAAAACAATGACCAACATGGAAAGTTACAGCTAAAGGTGCAATAGTAGTACTCATATATTGGTGATAAACAACAGCCGTCTAACTGAACTTAAAGCTTGCTAAAAAGAAGGGGGGGAAAAAACCCCTGCTATTTTCACATGCACATATACTCTGATATCTGTAACAACAAACAACTGGTTTTGCTTTTTAACACTACCCATAATGAATACAGTAGTCCTACTAGACATAGACAGCACAGGGAAAAGAATATACTACCATGGCTTTTTGTCTCCTTAGAGCAAGAGGGATCTGTGGGAGCACTTGGATCCTGCACTGCTGCTTCCAGCTCTGTCCCTTGAGGGAGCCGAATGCTTCCATCCTCCATCTGCTCATCATGCTCCTCCTTTGCTTTCTCCTCTTCTTCCTCTTCTTCCTCCTCCTCTTCTACTTCAGGCTCATCCTTCATTTTCATTAAAGCTGGAGGGAGTTCTGGTCGCTTGGGTGGCAACTTCTACAAGGGAAATAAAACCATGAACAAGCAGTTCTGCAAAATGGTGAAAAGAGCCAGACCGTTTCTAGGAGGTTAAGCTACATGTGTACAATGCAGCCTCTTCAGGTTAATAAAGCCACAGAAGTCAGCGAGAAGCATGGCCGCCACAGGAAATTTTGTTCTGTTATGAATCTCAGCAACTGTTTCCAGCAATGTCTAGCACCAAAGATTTACTAGGGAATATATACAAGAACCTGAACTGGATCTGTAGCACCAAAAAAAAAAAAAAGGAAGAAGAAAAAGAAGAGGCTAAGATTATTGAACACAGCATTGGGTATACAGCTCAGCGGTGCTGTGCTTGCCTAGCAGATGCAAGGGTCTAGGTTCAATATTCAGTGCTACACACAGGATTACAAGATTATTAAATATAAAACACTTGAAGCAACTTACAGGGAAATAGAATACTATTCTAGAAGAGTAATAGCAGCAGTAATTCATCCTGTTACACCTGTTGCTATCAAAGGACTTTAATTTATTACAAAATCTTCAGGGAAGTAAATCAAATATACATTATAAAAAAAATTGCTAGGTGCAGTGGCCCACGCCTGTAATCCTAGCTCTCGGGGAGGCAAAGGCAGGCAGATCTCTCCGAGTTTGAGGTCAGCTTGGTCTACAAAGTGAGTCCAGGATAGCCAAGGCCACACAGAGAAGTCCTATCTCGAAAAAACAACAAAAATGAAACAAACAAACAAAGAAATAAAGAGAAGAACATCTGTACTGGCCTCTCACCAACCCTCTTTGGATATTTTGAGACAAGGTGCTGGCTGGCCTGAAACAGTATATAAACCAGGCTGACTTCAAACTTGGAGTGATCATTCTGCCTCTGCCTCCCAAGCACAGAGATTATAGCCCTGGGCCACCAGCTAGTTCCTTAAAGTTTTTTAAATATAGAATTAAGTTAAGTAATTCTTTTTTTTTTTTTTTTAGCCTTTTTTGATTGTTTGTTTTGGTTTTTCGAGACAGGATTTTTCTATATAGCCCCGGCTGTCCTGGAAATCCCTCTGTAAACCAGGCCTGCCTCTCTAAAGGCATGTGCCACCACCAGCATTTGAGAGACACAGGCAGGCAGATCTTTGTAAGTTCGAGGCCTGCCTGATCTACAGAGTGAGTTCCAGGACAGCCAGAGCTGTTAAAAAGAGGAACCCTGTCTCAATAAATCAAACAAAACCAAAGTCTTTAAGAAATTATTTTTCTTCTATTTAAACCTGGATACTTTCCTCTCCATAGCTTCATCTTAAGTCCCATAACTCTGATCTGTAACTGGGACTTAAGACCTCTGGCATCAAAGGACAAGTCCATCACAATTCAAGGTCTTTCAGTCTCAACTGTTTTGTTGTCTGAGAGAGTTTGGCTCTGTAGCTCAGGCTGGTCTTTGAGTCCCTGACTCAGCCTCAATATGAGAACTACAGAAACACAGCACTATACCTACTTTATTTATTTATTTACACCCCCCCCCCCAAAAAAAAAATCCCAACTCCTTAGATCTCTCAAACTGTAATCTCATTTGGATATAAGGTGTTTTAAGTGATGAAGTTAAAATGAAGCATTTAGGGGAGGGCACTAAGCCATAGTTAGTAAAATGGCTGAGAAGCACTGGGCCCTAAGCCAGCATGACTGACACTATTAGAAGGGAGAGGCAGTTACAAAAAAGAGCCACAGCCATCTGTAAAGCACAGAAGGTACCAGCTATACCAGCATCTCGATCTTGAACCTCTGGTATCTAGAACTGTGAGAAAATAAAAACTGCAAGGCATTATAAGCTGACTTGTTTGGACTGAAGTCACTATGCTGTCTAGTTTTATGTCAGCATGACACAAGCTGAGGTTATTGGGAAGGAGGGAGCCTCAGCTGAGAAAATGCGTAAGTCCTCAGATGGGGAAAGGGGGCTGAGTACAAAGTTCTGCCCCTAGCTGTGGAGCTATTGGCAAATGATGGCTGCTGGAACAGCAAGAGTCAGCTTTCCCTACGAGTACAGCCTCGGGTCAGTAGACACAACCAAGAACACCTGGACAGTACAAAATGGGTTCAATGGATTAAAAAAAGAAAAGAGGAGGTGCCGGGTGTGGTAGTGCACGCCTCTAATCAGAAGGCAGAGTTGACGGATCTCTGTGAGTTTGAGGCCAGCCTGGTCTACAAGCCAGGGCGATACAAAGGAACCTATCTTGAAAAACAAAACAGAACAAAAAAAGAAGAAAGAAAAAAAAGAAAAGAGGTCACAAAGTTGGGTGGGTAAGAAAGGGGGTCATGGAGAAGTTGCAGAAGGGGAGTGAGTGACATCAAAGCACAATGTACAAAATTCTCAAGGAACTACTTTTTTTTTAAATGAGGAAGAAAATAGTAGTAAAATAACAATGGGGGAAATCAACATAGGTACTTCATTCCTAAAGATAACATTCATTAGAAACTATTGAACTAGCTCCAGGACAATCAGAACTACAAAGTGAGAACATGTCTAAAAAATAGAGAAAAGAAACTAATAAACTAGTAAAAAACAAAAAATTACACACAAGTTCTTTTCAAGTTGACTGCATAAATCAATCAGTTCTTTTGTGTTTGTGTGCATGCCTATGTCATATATACAACTGAGGCCAGAAGGCACCCAATGTCCTCCTTTATCACTGAACCTGCAGCACAAGTGGCTGTCAGTCAGCAAGCCCCAGCAATCCTCCTGTCTTAGCACCTCTATGCTGAGGTTACACCTGCCCAGGGCCATGCTTCACTTCACATGGGTACTGCGATCTGAACTCTGGTCCTCATACTTGGGCAGCAAGTACTTAAACAGCTGAGCCATCTCTGCAGTCCAGTTCACCAATTCTGAGCAAGAGATGCTCATGCCAACCCAACTTGTCCTTTCCCACATAACTAGGAAATAAGGCAGAAAATCTAGTTCAGGAACAGCTAAAGGACTAACAGTTCAACACAGTCACTCTAACTCACAACTTACCCCTACTGTTCCAGTTTTTAATTTGAATTTGCTTCCTCCTTTCATGGCACCAAAGAGAGGCAATGCAAGTTTTTTAGCTTTGTTTCCTGCATTTGTAGACTGAAGTTCAGTCCTAGGAAGAAGAACAATTATAAGCATGTATTCCAGTTAAGTCCAAGGTTTCTTCCATACCATTAAACTGGGCTGCCAAGCTGGCTCAGCAGGTAAAAGTACTTGGCAGTCAAGTTTGACAACCCTTCAAACCCCTAAGCCCATATAAGGGTGGAAGGACTGCACAAAGTTGTCCTCTGACCTCCACACATATGTACTAATCCTCAATCAGTAACACTCACAATAAAAAACAATGTTTTTAAATGATCATGAGGGCTGGAGAGATGGCTCAGAGGTTATGAGCACTAGTTGTTCTTCCAAAGGTTGAATTCAATTCCTAGCAACCATATGGTGGTGCATAACCATCTATAATGAGATCCAGTGCCCTCTTCTGGCATGTAGGCACACATACAGGGAGAACACTGCATGAATGAATGAATGAGTGAATGAATGAATGAATGAATGAATGAATGAATGAATATATGAATGAATGGATCTTAAAAAAAATAATCATGAAATTGACAAGGACACTTCTGAGAAAACAGAAATGACCATAAGCTGAGTATATAGACAAAAAAACAAAGACGGCACAAGGCCTAAGGATTGTGAAACAGAGCTACTGAAGGCAAGATAAGGATGCTTCCTCAGTCCAGTAATTCCCAGCATGTCACAGGACTCTGAATTTAACAAGTGGTGATGACAGTGACTGGAGTCATTGGAGAAGAAAAGAAAAGCAAAACCCAAACTTCCCCACCCCAAAACAGGGTCTGACTGTGTAGCCCTGGCTCTCCTGGAACTCTCTCTGTAGACCAGGCTGGCCTCAATCTCACAGAGATCTGCCTGCCTCTGCCTCCTGAGTGCTAGAACTAAAGGTGTGTGGCAACACCACACAGCACTTAACCTACCTTAACATCTAGACAGTCTTACATAAGAGTTCAAGGTTTCATCCAAAGGGGTAAGAGGCATAACACACACTCACTGACAACCTAAAGCAGCAAGCAGCACTGTACAATTAAACTTTATGAAATGATGGAAGTTTTTAATGCTTATATTGTGTTACCTATTTGATTAAATGTCAACCACATTTGTCCACTGAGCTCTTGAAATGTGGCTATAGTATGCTGAAGAACTGAATTTTTAAAACTATACTTAATGTTTACTATTAAAGGGTGTTATACTGGATAGTTCAGATCTAAATTAAATAAAACAAGAAATGTCCTGCAGTAAACCACCTTCACAGATGTGCACCTGTAGTGTCCTGACCAGTCTTATTTTTGAATCAACACACTACATAAAACCTTTAGATATTGTCAAGCTGAAAACAGAATCCTTGGGGCTGGAGTAAGAACACTGGATGCTCTTCCAGGGGACCCAGGGTTCAAATTCCCAGAACCCACAACCATTCTAGTTCCATATCTTTTGGCCCCCACGGGCACCAGGTGTACAATGGGAGCACAGACATGCATGACAGCAAAAGATCTATTTTCGATTTTCCCAATGAAGACTCAAGAGCCAGATACTGGGGTGAAAACCTATTAGCTCAAAGAGAGAGAGAAAGCACTCAGCCAACCTTCCTACTCACCTCACATCCCAAAGAAAAAAGGCAAAAACCAAAAGTCCAAGGCCAAAAGCTTGCTAGCTCAGCTGATGGCCCAGGAAGAAAAGCCAAAAGCTCAGCTGACAGCCCAGGAGTAAAAAGGCAAAAGCCCAAGAGCTAGAGAGCAAAAGTGCCCTTCTTTTACTCCACACTGTCTTAAACATTCCTCTCAAGTCCCTCCTTTCTACTTAATCCCTGTCAGCTAGTTTCTTGCTCCACCTCTTGACCTAGAGTTAACTTTCTTAAATCCTGTGTACAGAAAGCTCTGGTATTAAAGGTGTGTGTTAGAGCTGAGCCATAATCACCTGTTTACAATAAACAAAAAGTTCTTGGATTAAAGGTGTGTGTTAGGGCTGAAACATGCCAAACAAACCCCCAACAGGTTTTTACAGCTCACAATCTTGGAGTTCATAATGGGATCAAATATCCTACAACAATCTTGCTCTTACACACACTTCAGTTCATAAATATCAGCTAAGTATGAGGGAGCTGTCAAAATCAGGTTTATAATTTAACATACTTCTGCAGATGGAAGTGGATTCACAAACCAGCTCCCTAGAGATTATCCACCCTCCTCCTTAAAAAAAGGACATTTACACTGAGTTTTGTTTGTTTGTTTGTTTTTAAGTATATAAGAGCTGGAGAGATGGCTCAGCAGTTAAGAGTTCTTGTTACTCTTCCAAAAGACTCAGGTTCAAGTACCAGAACTCACATGGCAGCTCACAACTGGCTGACTGGCTGAACTCTGGTTCTTCTGGCCTCTGGAGGCACTGCACATGAAGGCAGAGGCAGGTGGCTCTCTGTGAGGTCAAGGCCAGCGTAGACTACCTTATGATTCCAGGACAACAAGGGCTATATAATAGAAACACCTTGTCTAAAACAAACAAACAAATAGGTAGATAGGTAGGCAGGCAGTTAGGTAAGTAATAGACAGACAGATAGACATAGATTATTTTTGCTCATAGCTTTTTACCTGTAGCTTTAAAACCCTCTAACATTTATCATTCCCTCTAAGGAGATCAGCAATGACTAAGTATAGATTCAATTTAAACTATGAGAACTGCTAATTCAGAAGACTGCCATTCATGATTCTGTAATGTGTTATAATGAGGCCCTGTCCAGCAAGCTCTGCTGCTTTAACCCTGGGTTTATGGCCAAAAGAAAAAGGAGACAAATATCAACCTAAACCCCACGTAGCACTTTCCAGTCAGTTTCTTACATGAATCAGGGTCTGACTCTGGCTTACTTCCTTTCAAGAACTCCTACTTCTTTCTATACTGATTATGACAACTAGGCTATTCTAAGCAGAGAGAACTTCTCATATGCTCAGGACAGCCAACATTAATTTCCATATATCCACACTGAACTTTTTTTTTTTTTTTTTTTTTCAAAAGCAGAGCTTTTCTTTAGGATTAGCCATTTTATTGCAATGCAATTTTTTTTGTTTGTTGGTTGGTTGTTTGGTTTTGGCTTTTGAGTCAGGGTCTTGCTACATAGCCCAGGCTGACTTGGTACTTGCTATGTGGGCAGATGTTGTGGCAGTCCCCACTTCTCAGCCTCCCAAGTGCTGAGATTACAGGCTTCCCTATAAGACAGGGTCTCACAGGCTAGGCTAGCTTGGAACTCACTATTGTAGTGCAGGTGGCCTCAAATGTGAGGTCCTCCTGCTCAGTTTCCCTCGTCCTACAATTACAGGTGTGCACCACCATGCCCAGTCTGCAAGAGAATTGTTAATACAGTTTTCTAGATGCTGATTAGTCAAAGCTAAAACTGTCATCACACAATCATAAATTTAGACCTCAAACACTATGGCTACTTGGTGCAAGATTCTCCTTTCCTGTTTTTAAGAAATGTGCATTTGAATAGCAAGTTTCCTCCCATGTTCACAACTTAGAAAGTGTAAGAACTTATACACTGTCAAGTCTCTCTTTAACTGCTATCTGCTAGTCACCCGGTTCCTTTTCCCACAGACAAGTAAGTAAGTAGATCAGCTTTTTAAATATGTCCAGAAATAGAACAGCAGACGCCACTGGGAACCCTCTCAGATAGCCTTTAACAGAATGACTAGCTACTGCAGATGCTGCATGCTAAGGTCAGTATTTGCAGCTTTTGCAGAACTGTGTGTGTTTCCCCAAGTCTGTGGTCAATGTTGGTGTTGGGGAGAGTAAAGTCCAAGCTTCTATGATATCTGCGGTGCCACTACAACTCTTGAATGCACATCTTTGGCCAGCTTGTTCCCTGTTCTTCCTCTATTTAATACAGATTTCTCTGGAGAGGCTGAGGGTAATCTCTGAGTAAATCACTTGTAGACAAATCCCCGTCTCAGAGTGTGTTTGTAAGGAACCCGACTAAACAGACATACACATATATACACGTATCTGCATACCTAAACTATGACCTTCTTACCTATACATTCTTCACTTCACAAACATCGCATACACTGTTCTATAGTTATTTGCTAAATATATTGTTAAATATATTTTGATAACAAGCCCACAATTAACATAACTGCTTCCTTAATAGCTTAATAGCTTAATAATCTTAATAGCTACATGGTATCCTATTGTATTATCTAGTTAACCTAGTTCTTGATAAGCATTTACATGATTGCTCATATTTTGCTATATATTCCTCTCTCTTTCTTCCTTTCTCTCTCTCTTCTTTCTCTCTCTCTCTTTCCAAGACAGGGTTTCTCTGTGTAGCCCAGACTGTCCTGTTACTCTCTTTGTAGACAGACTGGCCTCAAACTCAGAGATCCCTTTACCTCTGCCTCTCAAGTGCTGGGATTAAAGTCATACACCACCATTGCTCGGCACTCATTATTTTCTAAGTGTGAAAAGACAAGATTCTGGAAATAGGCCAGGTATGGTGGTACACACCTTTAATTGCAGCACTCAGGAATGACACAGAGGCAGGCAGATCTCTGTGAGACTGAGGTTAGCCTGGTCTACACAGTGAGTTTCAGTCCAGCCAAGACTACTTGTCTTAAACAAAACAAACACAATTACAAACAAAAAAAAAAAAAACTAAATAAATTTATATTTCTTTTTCTTTCCCCCGCCCCAGTATTGGGAGCTGAACCCAGAGCCTATAGATGGCAGGTAAGAACTCTACCATTAAGCTCTAACTCTATCCCTAAATGTTTATTTTTCTTTTTTCCTCTTCTTTTTTGTTTTGGTTATGTGGGGGATTGTTTTCTGTTGTTGTTGTTGTTGTTGTTTGCTTTTTTTTGAGACAGGATGTCGATATGTAGCCTTGGCTAGCCTGAAACTCATAGAGAGATCTGCCTGTCTCTGTCTCCTAAGTGCATACACACATTGCCAAGTGTGGTCCAAACTTGTTTTCAACTTGCAATGTAGCAGAGAATAACTCCAAACTACTGATACCCCTGCCTCTACCTTTCAAATGCTGAGATTACAGGCACATAACCATGCCCAGGTCTTTTTGTATATGTATGTGTGCATATTTTATTTTTTGTGGCTTATCAATTGATGCCCTTTGCCCACTTATATTTTGGGTCATATACTTATAGCACATACTTATAATTCCTGTATATGGGAAGTAGAGGCAGGACATAATCATATTTTAATTATATAGACAGTCCTCTGGGTAAATCTGTTAGTGGGGGAGAAGAGGGGTTCAATATTATTATATGAAATTCTCAAAGAATTAATAAAAATGTTACTGAAATCTTCTTTAAAAGTCCAGCATTCAGCTGGAGAGATAGCTCAGTGGGTAAAGATGCTTGTCACCAACCCTAAAAGTCTGAGTTCAATCCCAGATATAATGTCACACATGCACACAATAAATAAATGTAAAAATAGAAACTGAAGTTTAAGGTCATCCTGGGCTACAATACCCATATTGAAGCCAAGCTGGGCTACACGAGTATTGTCTCAAAAAATATTTTTTTTTTCGACTAGAACTTCTTATACTTACTTTTTAAGTTCTGGGATCTCTGCTGGCTTTACCAGTTTTATCAACCCTTTAAGTCTCTGTTGTTCTTTCCTTAGTTCAAAAGTCCTCAGGTGAAGTTTCTTTCTGGACACACCATCTAATGTGCTCCCTGATTTCATTTCTGACATGAATGCATCTAAAGAATCCTGAGATGATGATTCTGATAGAACTGTCCAAAAAGGAACAACACATGTTTAAAAAGATGGCCCAAATACTTTTAAATTCAGTCACATTATTCACAAAGGGGTCACAAATATAAAGTTGAACAACAAACATCATTGATATTAGGAATGAAAAAAAATTATAGCTGTGTGAGACCTTGGGAGATGATTTTAGGCTTCATTTCCTTCAACTATTAAATAAAAAGAGATTAAACCAAACAATTTCTAGTTATTTTTCTAACTCTACAATGTTACATTGTGAGACTGGAAATGGCTCAGCAGTTAAGAGCACTTGCTGCTCTTACAGAGAACCTGGGTTCAGTTTCCAGCAGCCACATGACAGCTCACAATCTTCTGTAACTCCAGTTCCAGGGGATCTGGCACCCTCTTCTGGCCTCCATGAGTACCAGACATGCATGTGGTACACAGACATGTAGTAGGCAAAACACTCATAAAAACATGCATAAAGTAAAAAGCTACATTTCTCTTTAAAAATACCTCCAAAGCCTGAATCTTCCAGTGCATCCCATTGCCTAACAACGCAGGGTACATTTGTATGCCAGGTTTGTATGTCAGGTATTCAATAACTACTGGCTGACAGTCTTACCTTTGCTGGAGGCCTTGAGCCTCTCAGAAATTTCAGAGAGTTCTCTTTCAGCATCATTTAACTTTGCAACCTATAACGCCCAAATCAACAGGGTTAGCAAATGTTTTCCTTATCACCTTCCTATCATTAATATTATTACAAGTTTTAAAATTATTAAATCAGAAGTCCATCTAAGTTGGCTCCTGATGAAGTTGCTATTTTTTTGTTTACTTTCTTCTAGCTAAACTAATTTTAGAATTAAAAAACCTCAAGTAGAATGAATTGCTGACACTTTAAAACAAAGCACTCAAGACATTTGTTCTCATCAGTGAGCCACGGGGTAGATGTTGGACACGTGAAGCTAGGAATACTGCTAAATACAGTGTAAGTTCATGCCCCCTTTATGGCAATTCCATGAAGGCTATGCCATTCCAGACTAAAACCATACTATTCTTCTGAATTTTCTTAAATGCTAGAGCTTAACATCAGTGTCACTATGGACACCCAAGCTTGGAACTTTTTCTTTTCTTTCTGAGGAATAACATCATATCCAAAGAAAATTCCTTAGTGAGTCAATACAAACCAGGAAGGAAGTGAACAGCAGTTGGTAAACCCTTTTTCCACCAACTTGAATAAACTAGTTATTTGTTGCCATTAAATTTAGAGATCACAGAAGCTGTAACTCAGTACTAGACTTCAATGTTGTTTTTTAAGCTATGATGACCATAAGAACAGCAACTTCTGTAAGCAACTTGCCAGTGATTCAAATGTTTCTGGCTTCTCGTCAATCTTCCCAGCCTTCTTCATGCGGTTCAGGCGCTTCTTCTCAACCAGGCCAGTCCGATCGAGGAATGTGTCATCATCACTGTCGTAAAAATCTTCATCCTCCCAGTTCTTGGCCTTCCTTTTCCGAGATACTAAAAATACAACAGTCCATATGAAGGTTTTATTTGGAGAGAGAGAAAGAGAGGGAGAGGGAGGAAAAAAGGGAGGCTGGGTATGGAGCTCAGGTGATAGGGTGGGTGCCTAGTATGCACAAGGCCCTGGATCTGATCTTCAGCAGCACCTAACTAGGTGCAAGCGAACACACCTGTAATCTCAGCACTTGGGAGGTAAAGGCAGGAGGGTTGAAGTTCAAGGCCATCCTTGTCTATATAACAAGTTTGAAGCCAGCCTTGGATACACGAGACTGTGTCTCAAAAAAAAAAAAAAAAAAAAAAGAGGAGGAAAGGGGAAATAAGTCACACACAAGGGCACACAAGGGCACCATGCCACTTATATGAAGTTCCTAAAGTAGTCAAAGTCTGTACTGAGAAGACAGTACATAGTACTTAGTACATAGTACTTGCCTCACAAATGTGAGGACCAGTGCCCAGATCCCCCGTACCTATGCAAGTGCTGGGCATGTGTGGTAGCATACCTGTAAGCCCAGCACACAGAACACTGACAGACAAGCGATCCCCACGGTAAGCTGGTTCACTAAACAAATTTAGGACTCAGGGCTCAATAAGAGATCCTACCTCAATATAAAGGGTAAGAAATGATTAGGCTACTCAACACCAACCTCTGACCTCCACATGCATTATAAAGGAGTCAAATCACAGACACAGAAAAGAACGGTAGTCCCCATGGGCTGGGTAGGAAGGAGAATGGAATTACTGTTCACAGGATACAGCTGTACCAGGCATAATGGAAAGTTCTAAGCTGGGCAGTGATGAGTACATAAATACACTTAATATCATTAAAATTATAGCATGTTTTCACAACAATATATTTCACAACAATAAAAAGTTAAAACAAAGCCAGGCATGGTGGTTGCATGTCTTTAATCCCAGCACTCAGGAGGCAATGGCCAGTCTGGTCTACAGAGCAAGCTCCAGGATAGCCAGGGCTATACAGAGAGAATTGTCTCAAACAAACAAACAAAGCCCACTAAACATAGAAATAGAGCTAGAAATAGGAAGCAAGCCTGAAACTCATGCACGGCCAGGGTGGTCTTGCATTGCAGCTCTCCTGTGTCTGCCGGTTACACACATGTGCCACCATGTCTGCCTCGCGGGGTCCAGGTTTTAGGTCTTTGCTTTTTATTTTTGTTTTTGAGACACAGTTTCTCTATACAACAGCACTGGTTGTCCTGGAACTCACAGAGATCTGCCTGCCTCTGCCTCCCCAGTGCTGAGATTAAAGGTATGTGCCACCTTGCCCAGCTTTAGACGTAGTTTTAAATGTACATTCAGAAATGTACCTACAAACAGAAAATATCTAAGACAATATAAATAAATGTCTTAGGATGTTGGGAGAGGAAACTTTTCTCTCCACTTCAGAAAATTCTGTACAATTTACACACTATCTACGTAGAGAGATTGTTATCTTTTGCATTGCATTTTTCTTCTTTGCTTTTTAAAAGAAAAAAAAGAGAGATTTTTATATACTGACCTGCTTCCTGCCGCAGCAATCCCAATGTATCAAGGATCCGACAAGCTTCCAGGGAGCACTGTATCATCGCTTCTTTTTTCTTCCCTGAGTGAATGGCCTCAGCCACCAGCTGTTTCCCAGTTGAATCATCCACAGGTAATCTGCATTGGTTTACGGAGAGCTACAGCTCAGCACGAAGCACTGATTCTCATGAAAACAGCCCTCATGATGCCATGTGTCCTTAGATGGCATTTCCATCTCAGTTAATTTCTTTGTCTTGCCACGGTTAGTCTTCAAGTCATTTCTTTCCCCTTTTATTCATTTCACCCCAGTTCCCAGTGCTACCAAACTATCAAGGCCCAAACATGGAACTATACCAAAATGTACAGTAAAGTTACTCTTGGGGATCTTCTCTGCAACTACCTGCTAACTTGAAACTGGCTACTAACAGACACAGACATTAGCAAGGAGCCCAGCATTTATTAGACAGACAGGGAGGATTGCCACAGAACAAGACCCTGTCTCAAAACAAAACACAACAAAACAAAGCTAAAAAACAAAGAGCTTACCTCACCCTGCAGAGCCAAGTGCTATGCCCCTGCTCATCAAATTCATATTCTAATTCTTCTCCTACAGGAAAAAGAACAATTTTAGTCAGATCTAAAAATTACAATAAGGAGCTCAAAGGGCTGGAGAGATGGCCCAGTGGGTAAGAGCACTGACTGCTCTTCCAGAGAACCTAGGTTCAATTCCCAGCACCCACTTGGCAGCTCACAACTGTCTATAACTCCAAGATCTTACACTCTTACATAGATATACACGCAGGCTAAATACCAATGGAAATAAAATAAATAAATTATTAAAAAAATAAGGAGCTCAAAAGTTAAAGACACCAAGTTTTAAAATCACAATAAGCATTAAATTTTAATATATTTCATTTATTGCTAGGGAAGTAAGACTGGAATAAATGTGACATAGAAGAAAATCATTTCAAATCAGAATAAACTGGGCAAGGCCTGGTTGTTGGGGTGACCGTGTAAGGGTGTCATTGTATTATTCAAATGCTGACTTCTGTACCAGCAGAGAACAGACTTTGGTATCGTTATTCCTATGGCTGCATCATATTTTGTAAACACTCCCTCCAACATCTTCCATTTGGTTTAATAAAAAGCTAAATGGCCAATAGCTAAGGCAGGAAACAATAGGCAGGACTTCCAGGAAGAGATAGGAACTCTAGGAAGAAATCTGAGGCACAGAAAGAGTTGTTAGACTTGGAGGAAGAAACAAGGATTAAGACTGAGAGGTAATGGGTCACATGGCAGGACTTAGGCCAGGCCAGTATTGTCAGGTTAGACTAGCTGAGAATCTGCCCAGCCATAGTGCCTAAATTTAGAATAAGTATAATAACTCTGTCATTATTTGGGATCTGGAGGTCCAAAGAAAATCCTGTTTTACCTAGTGACATGGACTTTTAATCCCAGCTACTCAGGAGGCTGTGGCAGGAAGACCTCAAATTCAAGCTGAGCTACAGAGTGAATTCAAGGCAAGCCTAGGCAACTTAGTAAACCCTGTCTCAAAACAAAAACAAAAATTCACACCCATAACTGAAAAAAAAGCTGGACTCATACTAATAATCATACTACTAATAATAATTATAATTACACTAATAATCATACTACGACGACTAATAATAATCATGCTAATAATCCCAGCACTCAGGAGAAGTGTAGGAAGATGACTGCAAGTTCGAGGACAGCTTGAGTTACGTTGAGAGTTTGAAGCTAACCTGAGCTATAGAGTGACCCCATCCTCTTAAAAAACAAAACAAACAAAAACAAAAACAAAACAAAAAAACAAAGAGGGCTAGGAATATACCTCAGTGGCAGAATGCTTGCTTGACATACATATAGATCCTATGTTCAACCCCAGTACCACAAAATACAATCCTGGCTGTGTAGGCTTATAATACTAGGTATTCAGAAATTGAGGCAAGAGGATCATAACTACCAGGCCTATCTGGTCTCTGGGGGTGGGGGTGGGGGGTGAAGGGGATGGGCATTATAGCTTGTAGCTTAGTGACGGAATGCTTGCTTAGCATGAACAAGGTCTGGATTTGATCTCAGCACAATCAGAACAAAATACTCAAGCCAAGGGTCGGAATGTTACATAGAAAGGGAAATAGAATAGATGGCAGAAGTGGATAAAGAGAGGGAACTGGGCAAGAAATGGAATGGGGAGGAAGACAAAGGTAGGAATCAGATGTTAGAAAAATGGGGGTGGGAGGAGAGAGGGCTGAGAACAAGGGAAACTGAAGGGGGGCATCTCTCTGACAAGCTGGAGGTCTTTGACAGGGTAAGCTCCTGGGACAATATGGGTGTGACTCTAGCTGAGACTCCTAAGGGATGGGGATGAGGGTGGAGGCATGAGACTGAAGTGACCACCTCCTAGCCAGGCAGGACTAGTGGAGGGAAGAGAACAACTCACCCACAAAACCTTTGATCCAAAAATTACCCTGCCTACAAGAAGTTAAGGGATAAAGATTGAAGGAATGTCCAACCAATGATTGGTTCAACCTGAGACACAAGCCACAGTAGATAGCCAGCCACTGACACTATTAATGATGCTCTGCTATGCTTGCAGACAGGAGCCTAACATGACTGCCATCTGGGAGGCTCCACCCAGTAGCAGATGGAGACAGATGCTGGGACTTGCAGCCAAGCATGGTGCAGAGCTCCAGGGGTCTTGTGGAAGTGTTGGAGGAAAGATGGAATGATCTGAAGGGGATAGGAATCCCACAAAAACACCAACAAAGACAACTAACCCAGACCCACAGTTTCTTATAGAGACTTAGACATCAACTAAGGAACATGCATGGTCTGGACCTAGGCCTCCTGCACATATGTGGCCAATAGATGGCTTGATCTTCATGTGGATCGCCTGGTGAGTGAAGGGGGCCCTGTTTCTAACATGCACTATTGCCTGCTTTTGCATCACTTCCCCCTGGCAGGGCTGCCTTGCCTGGCCTCTGAATGAGGATATGCTCAATCCTGAAGTGACTTAGTGTGTTGGGGAGGGTTGATACAGTGGCAGGGGGACTCCCCTTTTCTAGGGGAAAAGGGAGAGAGAAGAAAAGAAAAAGGGAGGGGACTGGGAGAAAAAGAGGGAGGGAAGACCCGTGGGATTTAAAATAAATGAACTTAAGTAAAATAAAAATTAAAAACAAAAGAAAACATTCAAACCAATCATCTCTCCATACATACCTTTATATATGCGATTTTATATGTGTGTGCAGACTGGGTGTCTTCCTAGGTCATTCTCTACCTTAGAATCTCTCACTGACCAGGAGTCCATCAATTCAGCTAGGTTGGCTAACCAATAAGCTCCAAGGATCCACTTGTCTTTCTGCCTCCCAAGCACTGGGCTTACATACACTTCCATATCTAGCTTTTTTATGTAGGTTCTAGAGATCCAAACTCTTGTTCCCTGCTTGTACAGCAAGCACCCTATCGACTGAGCCCTCTCCCCAGCCCCAATTTTCATACTTTCAGGGGTACAGTTGGTTTTTAGAAGCATAGCTAGACATTTTGTTAGTGTTGCTGGAGATAGGGTTTCATATAGTCCAGGCTGGCCTTGAACCTGCTATGTAGACAAGCATGACTGAACTCCTGATCTGATCTTCTTGCCTCCATTTCCTAAAGTGCTGGGACAGCAGACATCAGCCCCCATATTTATGCCTGACTAGAGGCATAAATATGTTCTGAAAGCAACCAGTTCGTTACATACATGTACATACATACACAGAGAGAGATTGTATTTTTCCCCTATTGATATTCAACCAATTGCAGACTTTAAAAAAGTCTGCTTTGAACATGTACACTTTTGTCATTATTCACTAAACACAATATAATGACCATTCACATAGATTTACATACACTATGTTGGGTATTATAAATAATCTAGAGTATATTTAAAGTACATGGGAGTCTATATATGTAGTTATAAGCAAATACTATGGTACTTGATATAGGGACTTGAGCATCCTCAGATCTTGGTATCTTCAGGGAAGGGTCTTGGACCCAATCCTCCCAAAAATCCCCCACCCCGTGAATAACTATGTATACATAAATATATACATAAGACATGAATAAATACATAAACATGCATTGGTGTTCTTTCAAAGTATATCTACTGAAACAATTCTCCCTGAGAATACTTCTTATCATAGGAAGTTAAAATCTGCACTAAGAACTATAAAAGACCAAGGACTGTAGGAGAAGGCTCAGCAGGAAAAGTGCTGGCCTAGAGAGCACATGCATATGAGTTCAGTGTCTCATAAATCATGTAAAAAAGCAGAGCATAGTGGCACACACCTGCAATCCCAGCCCAGGGAGGCAGAGACAAGAGGATTCATGGGTTCAGGGGCTAGCCAGTCTAGTGTAATTAGTGAGCTCCAGGACAATGACAGCCTTTGTCTAAAAGGAGGTAGATGGCAGTCCTAAAGGTTAACCTAAGTTTTTTCTAAAACACATCCACATTACAAAGTACTGATTATGAAAGATCGTGTGAATTAGGAACAATAAATTCTAAGGCTTTGTTTCATTTTCCTACACTAAGTCCAAGACCTTTTGAGAAGAATGTGTTCAATTAGGCGAAAAAAATTTAGGATGGAAAGAAAGACGAATAAGGGTTTTACTATTTTCAAAATAAACCTGGGACTAGTGTACAGCTCAGTGATAGAGAAAGCAATTTCCTAGCACACATCCCAGGTCTGAGCCTCAGCAACCCACAAAGAAATAAAAATAAACAGAGCCAAATAAACTGATCACAATGCAAGAACCGAACGAGGAAGACAACAAACAGAATACATCATTTGCAAGAGGCAAAACAGCTGTGAGCACTTCTTACTGTCACGGCCAGAACCACATTTACTTGCATACCTTCTCGGTCAAAGAAGCCTTGGAGAGCCTTCTTTGGATCCTTTATATAAAAGGCTTCCCGGTCCTGCTGAAACTCCAAGGCAATGGGGTTCTCTTCAGCCTCATCCTCTACAGCATCTTCTCCTGCAGGGCACAAGGAAGGATAAATTTGAGAATAGGATATGGCTGGTTGTGGTGATGCACACCAGTAGGATTTGCTGAAGGAGGCAGAGGCAGGAGGATCACGAGAACAGGATATGTGAATGACATCTGAGATCCTTCTAGGCGGAGTAAGGATATAATCAGATAAGCTGGCACAGTGACACACACCTGTAATCAGTATTCAGGAGGCTAAGGCAGGGGGATCTAAGTTCTAGAATCACCTGACTACATAGAGACAATGTTTCAAGAAACACACACACATTTATTTATCTATATTAGAAGGCGGTTAAAAGAAAGATATTTGAGGGCATGGGATGGAACAATCACCAAGTCACCACCATGAACATCTTTACACTTTCTGAATTATGTAGCAAATAAGACTGTTTCCATGGCATTTTTTTTCCTTTTCATCACTTTAAAGACAACATATATCTACCATACTTTGAAAATTTTCTGAGCTCTTTAGCCTATCATTCTCTTTCTCTCCTATTCAGGTCTTACTCACTGATTCCAATATAATTCTTAGTAACGCTCCTGTCTGCCAAACACATTGGTTAAGTGCAATCCTCCCTCAAAACAGTCTCAGCACCAAACACAAACACCAATGTGCAGCTTTACTATTCTTTTCCTTCAAATTTCAGCTTAAAACTTTTTTTTTCAGCTTGAAACTCTTATTTAAGAATTTATAGAGTGGGACAGCAGGTAAAGGTTCCTTCTGCCAAGCCTGACAATCTGCTTTTGATCCCTGGAACTCACAAAGTAAAAAGAGAGAACTGACTCCTACAATTTGCCCTCTGACCTCCATCTGTACTCCATGACCCCTAACACAAACACAAAAATTAAATAAATTAATTTATAGTTTCCAAAAGATCTAAATTAGTACTGTCCCAAAGGAATATAAATGTTATGAGTAGGGCTGGAGAGATGGCTCAGAGGTTAAGAGCTCTTCCAAAAGTCCTGAGTTCAATTCCCAGCAACCACATGGTGGCTCAAAACCATCTATAATAAGGTTTGGTGCCCTCTTCTGGCATGCAGGTGTTTCATGTAGGCAGAACACTGTATACATAATAAATAAATTTAAAAAAATGTTATGAGTATAATTCTGAGCTTTCTATTACCTACTTTAAAAGGTCATCTCACTGTAATAATCAATATAAAAGTATGGTAATATTTTAATTATTTTTTTCACATAGAAGACATGCCAGTTTGGATAAGCCACACTAGACATGTAGCTAAAAGCTACCATACTGAACAGCTGGGGTCTAAGTTCCTAGTGACTGATGCCTTTCCTGGCACTAACTCTTGCATACTAATGGTTTCTAGCTTATTCCTAACATTTAGCATAAGCAATTTTGCATTTACTGTCTTCATATTTACATATATAGACCACACAGATACAAGTGCCACGGTGCACATAGGAGTCAAAGGAAAACTTTTGGGAATCCACTCTTCTTCCACCACGTGCTTCCCAGGAATCAAACTCAGTCAACACATTTGGCAGCACACACCTGCTGAGCTATGTCACCAAGCTCCAACATCTTTCATTCTTTGTTTGTTTGTTGTTTTGAGATAGGATCTCTCTATAATGTAGCTCTGGCTGTCCTGAAACATCAGATGTAGATCATGCTGGTCTTGAACTCACAGAGACTTACCTGCCTCTGCCTCCCAAGTGCTGGGATTAAACGCCTGCATCACAATGCCCTGCTAGCCCCAACTTCTTTCTTTTTATAGACCTGAATATTTATCATTCAAAATGTCTGATGTTTGTGGATATCTGCCATAATCTCTTGAATTTTTTTATACTTTGTGAAAATAGCCTGAAAGGTGAAATAGTAAATGCTGAATTTTCTTCGAGACAGAGTTTCTCTGTGTAGACCAGGCTGGCCTTGAACTCAAGAGATCTGACTGCCTCTGCCTCCTAAGCACTGGCATTAAAAGCATGCATCACCCATCACCACACCTGGCTATAAATGCTGATTTCTTAAGGAATAAAGTAAAATTTCCATGCTCTCCAGTGATAATTATTTAGCACTCAGGACTCTGTGTGTCTTTGTGTGTGTGTTTAGATGATAAAAGCAATACCATTTTTAAATTATAAGGGAAGGAAGAGTGTATGTATAGTGCCCCTAATTCTAATCTTTTATATCACCAAAGTTAATGACCTTGTGCTTTGGTTACCTTATTTGCAAATTATGTTTGCCCTACTTCAGCTCTAGTAGGATTTTTGAGCTAAAGCATTTAAAGGTGTCACTAGTAATGAACTCAGAACTTTCAGCGGCAATTTCTTACCCATTCCCCACGTGCAGCCCATCTCATCATCTTGACCACTAGCATTTCTCTTCCCTTCAGTGGTATCTGCTTCCTCTTCTTCATCGGAATCTTCACCTAGCATCTTCTTCTCCAATAACATCTGCTGTTGTTTGCGCAGTTCCTTCAACTGTGTTACTGTTAACTCAGATTCTGCCTCTCGGTCTTCCTCTGGTCCCTAATGAATCAAGGGGAAAATATATACATATATGGCTTCAGGAATGGAGAAATTACTTTTCGAGATACAGCAATGTACACAGACCTGCGAGTCCAGACTGAGCCCTACGCTTCTGTCACTGGTTACTGGGATACCTTTTTTTTTTCTCTCTCTCTCTCAACTAAACCTTAAAGAAACTCAGAATCCCCAGCACAGCGAAGTTCCCAAATTTTTATTTTACAATTTTCTACTTACCTGAAGGATAAAGAGCCTGGTGCTGCCTCCAAAACGAAAAACGTGCCCAACGTGGACTCGACAGTAAGTGCGGGGTGGGATGCGAGTTTTGTTGAGGAAAGTGCCGTGGGTACTTCCCAGATCGTAGATATAGAAGCCCTGCTCATGCCCATCAGATTCTCCGTCGGGATCCGACCCCCGGTGCTGTAGCACCGCATGGTACCGAGACACAGAAGGATGCTCCAGGCTTATGTCACAGCTAGCAAGTCTCCCGAAAAGGCAGCAGCTCATCCCTTTCAAGTTGCGGGTGCCAAGAATGGTGCCACCTTTCAAGGTTTCGAGACTGTAGGGGGCCGTGGTTGGGCTACCCCACGATGGCTCTTGGTATGGGGGGGCCCGGGCCGGACCGCCAGAAGCAGGAGCTACCCGCGGGGAGCGGAGCTGTTCCGCCGGTGGACTCCCAGTCTCCCCGCGGTCCGGCTGAGGCAGCGGGGCCTCGGGCTCCCCACATCCGGAGTCCAGCAGCTCCGTGGGGCATTCCGTCTTCACATCCTCAGGAACTGAGGGATTGGAGGCCGGAGCCTTACTCCGCACTGCCAGAGGCACCGGCAAAACAGGCTTCTTAAATTCGCTACTGATTTCCCGAGGTGCTGGCGGTTCTGGCTGAGAACTAGTATCAGCCATCATCAGCCGCGTGCAACCTCAAAATATGTCCCTCGGAAACCCCAGTCGCTCGCTCATCACGTTCCCGTGCACTTTCCTCCTCCTTCCCAGTTCCCTGCCGCTACTCTGGGTGGCAATGTTGGAGTTCCTCTTTCAATACTCACAGAATTGTAAAGATGTGAATAGCGCTAGAGAGTCCCAATACCAGAAGGGGGACAAAAAAAAAAAAAAACAAAAAACAAAAAACAAAAAACCGTCGTGGTGCTGAGCAGAATGCGGACATTTTTAGGCGTTGCAAAAGGCTTGTAATAACGTCCGGTGGCAAAAGGCGATCGGGAAGAAGCGCTTCCGGCGGCCTTGGGCCATTAATCAATAAACTAGCCTCCTAAGCTCGACCTAGTCGTCGACTCGGACCTGTCAGAGTCAGACAGCCGCGTAGACCACTCCTGGAACAGGGCGGTGAGTATTTGACCTTTATTGTCTGGTTCAGATCCAGAGCTCCCCATTTTACTGCCGCCCTGGAAATCAGACTTCCCAGGATCCTGTGGCTGGCGCCTAAGCCTAAGCCTGGAGATCACGACCGAGGAGCCCCTACCCTGCACTCCCGAACTTAGGTTTGAAACCCCCTTTACTCCTTTTTTGAAGTTAGGGAAGAGGGAAATTTCTCGTTAGTTAGCTCATTCTTTTATTTATTTTTGGAACAATTCATTGAGGGAGCATGTTAAGTGGCTTTACGACTCTGGGCATCTCTTTCACCTTTTGTATTTATGACATTGGCATGACACTGAACCACAGCTTTCACATATGAAAAATTGGGAATAGTAGTATTATTTTTTTACAGGATTGTTGGGAGATTGAACTAAGCAATAGTTTATATTGTAACCCTTTACCAGAGGCCCTGGCACTATACCAAGATGGTAGTCATAACAGGTGGGAGAATACAGCCGATTAAGCCAACTAAAGTTAAAGTCCAACGATAAATGCAAATCGATTAAGAATACAAAGAAAGGATGTGTATTGGGGAAATGTTGGGGATGGTGATTGCAGTTGTCTGAAAGAACAAATTCTAGTCTGATAAAGATGTAGGATGGCAGGGCATTCCTGACAGAGGTCACAACTCAAAGGGTCAATTATGAAAATATTTGATGTTCTCAAGAACCTGAGTAGTAGGGCTGGAGAGATGGTTCAGTGGTTGACAGTGGTTCCTGCTCTTCCGGTAGCCCTGAATTCCATTTGCTGTACCCACATTAGGGCAGTTCACAACCACCTCTAACTCCAGCTCCAGAGGGGTCTGATGCACTCTTCCGATCTCCCTGGGCACCTGCATCCACGTGGAACACACATACATACCCAACAATACAGATAAAATCTTTTTTTATTTGTTTGTTTGAGACGGAGTTTCTTATAAAATCTTAAGGCTGGGTGGTCTTGGTGGCACATACCTTTAATCCCAGCACTGGGGAGGAAGAGGTAGATGGATCTCCGAGTTCAAGGTCGGCCTGGTCTGGTCTACATAGTGAGTTCCAGGACAGCCAAGGTTACACAGAGAAACCCTGTCTCAAAAGAAATAAATATTAATTAATTAAAATAAAATCCGAGTGAAGAAGATAAACGGAAGGGCCAGTTAAATGGCCTACCTGGTAAAGGCACTTGCTGCCAAGCCTGAAAATCTAAGTTCAATCCCCAGGCCCACATGGTAGAAGGAGAGAAGAGTCTCACAAACTTCCTTCTCACTTCTACCTGCACACACTCCCAAAATAAGTAAATGGAAAAAAAAAAAAAAAACAAAACAAAACCAAAAAACCTAAGGGAAAAGAAAAAAAAACAAAACTGAGTAGTATGATGTTGCTAGAACTTAGGCTGTTTAGTCTAGGAAGCCGCTCTGTGTACCTGCAGGGCACTAGGTCCATGCCTTTAAAGTAGCAGCTACTTCATGCTGTTATACCGCAATATTTTGTTTCTGTCCCTCTCACCTCAGGACAAAGATCTTGCACTGTCACACAATGTCTGGTATTCAGTTGCTATTCATTGAACCAGAAGAGACATCTAGGCAATGAATCTGGAGAAGTGAATTGAAGACAGATTGTAAGTTTATTGAATGGTAAGCCATAGAATTCTGACTTTTTTCAAGAGGCAATGGGATGCATTCAACTGGAGTTTGTCTGAAACAAACAAGGGAAACGAAAAACAGGTTGGGGTGTAGCTCAGTGATGAAATACCTAGCATGTGTGAGTATTTCAGCCCCTTAAAAAGAAAAGTAAAAAAGTCTACCAACAGTGCGAAGTATAGATTAGATACTGTGGAAGACTGGAGCAGTGGTTCTTGGCCTTTCTAATGCTGTGACCCTTTAATACAGTTTCTTACGCTGTGGTGACCCCAAATATAAAATTATTTTGTTGCTCCTTCATAACTCTAATTTCGCTACTGTTATGAATTGTAATGTAAACATCTGATATGCAGGGTATCTGATTGGTGACTCCCAAAGGGGTCACAACCCACAGGTTGAGAATCGCTGGACAAGAGGAAGGGATACTGGTTAGACAGCAGCAGAAATCTTTCAGATGTAGTCTGGGGAGATAGCTGAGTCTATAAAATGCTTGCCTCATTGCAAGCATGACAACTTGAGTTCAAAACCCCAAACCCCTGTAAAAACCCAGGTGTGGTTGCATGTGCTTATAAACTTAGTTGTAGGGGATGAGTGTAGGGCCAGAAACAGATCTCTGAAACTCACTGGTCTAGAATAATCAGCAATTCCTAGATTCCAGTGAGAGATCCTGTCTCAAAAAAGTAAGATGGATGATACCAGAGGAACGACACCTGAGTTTGGTCTCTGGCCTCCATGCACATGCACACACAAAGAAATCTCTCACATTCTTTCATGTGTGTCAGAATTTGAAATTATAAGGCTATATTTAAAGTGCATGAATGTTTCCACCAGGATAAATTAAACTATACTCAGGCAAAGCACAGAATAAGAAGCACCTGTTAGTATTTTTTGTTTTGTTTTTGTTTTTCAAAGCCTGGTCTTTTTTTGTGTAGCCCTGGCTGTCCTGGAACTCACTGTGTAGACCAGGATTGCCTCAAACTCAGAGATACACCTTCCTCTGTCTCCCAAGTGCTGGGATTAAAGACATGCACTACCACGTCTGGGTATCTATTAGTGTTTTTAATGCTACCCTCTTTTTCCTATTAATCTAGCACAATTGTGTCACAATACTCATGATATACTCCAGATCTCCCATTTAAGTTTCATGCCTTGTAACTTGTTTAGGATTAAGCATGATGGGTATTGTGGTAATGAGTCTGTGAAGTGAAACAGGCAATATATATGTTAAGAGTCCTAGACACCAATCACTGCTGTTCATCTGCTAATGACTGCTTGTACTTCAGTCCAAGAGGAATTGTCATTGTGTGATCAGCACCTAACAATTATTTTTCTCCTAATTTCTTCCAGGAGAACATCGGTTATGCTAGAGATTTGCTAACAACCTTTTAAAGTGATCTGAACCTGCTTTTTATGTCAGAACTGCCTGGACTTCCTAGTTTTCACTACACTTGCCAGAGACTTAAACGTGTTGCCTTTAGGGTATCATCTACATTAAACCTGGGAACTGTTCTCTGCTAGCTCTAAAATGTTGAGATACTGGGGAGAAATACCAATACCGTCAGGACAGACCAACAGAAGTTCCTTTGATCTGCTTCCACGGGAGTTCCGTCTGGTGGAAGTCCATGATCCACCCCTGCACCAGCCCTCAGCCAACAAGCCCAAGCGCCCTACCATGCTGGACATCCCCTCAGAGCCGTGCAGCCTCACCATTCACACCATTCAGCTGATCCAGCACAACCGACGTCTCCGCAGCCTCATCGCCACAGCTCAGACCCAGAGTCAACAGCAGACAGAGGGCGTAAAGGCTGAAGAAAGTGAACCTCTTCCCCCCTGCCCTGGCTCACCTCCTCTCCCAGATGACCTCCAGCCTTTAGACTGTAAAAATCCCAATGCACCATTCCAGATCCGGCACAGTGACCCAGAGAGTGACTTTTACCGGTAAGACAAAGCACTGCTGTGCTTTGTTTGTTTGTTTTTAACTGACCTCCCTGATGATCCTGTTAAGATTATGGTAGCATTTCCACTTCTACACTGGAAGCTCAGGGTGAGAGTGATTACTTGGCTAATGTTGCTCAAGTCACTAGTGGAGTACCCTTCAGGAACTAGTCTGTAAAAAACAAAAAAAAAATTGGAGGGGGTTCTGAGACAGGGTTTCTCCGTGTAGCCATTGCTGTCCTGGGACTAGCTCTGTAGATCAGGCAGGCCTTAAACTCAGAGATCAGCCTGCCTCTGCCTCCCTAGTGCTGGAATTAGAGGTATATACCACCACTGTCTATATTTTTAATTTTCTAATACAGTAGGCATCTATTGAGTGCCTGTTAATGCCAGACATTTCACTAGAAGTGAAACAATGCACTGATACATGAATAGTAAAAACTGGGCTGGGGAGATGCCTCAGTGGCAGATCAGTGGCCCAGCAATAAGGAAGGAAAAAAAAAAAAAAAAAGCCTATAAGGCACCGTATTTACAATTTGAAGGTAATGTAGTTTTAGTCAGCAAGATATTGTTTATCATATTAATTTTTTGGTTTTTGAGAGAGGGTTTTGTTGTGTAGCCCTGGCTATCCTGGAACTAGCTCTGTATATCAGGCTGGCATCAAACTCACAGAGATCCACTTATCTCTGCCTCCCCAAGTGCTTGGTTTACAAGCATGCACCATCGCACCTGGCTGAACCTAGTTTGTTTTATACAGATTTTAAGAAACCATATAAGAAAAAAAAAGGAATACGCAGCAGCTACAAGGTGCCAAAACATCATTTTCCATTAAAGAAGTGGATGCATATACAGGCTGTAGATGTAGCTCAGTGGTCAAGCACTGTTGGCATGTGCAGGCCCTGCACTCAGATTCCAACACTACAAGGGGGAAAAAAAAGTCCAAAAATTGGTCAAATTAAGTGATGGCAATTGGCCCTTTATTAGGCCCTTCTGATGGACCAGCCACAGACATATTAGAGGAAAAGCTAGTCGTTGTCTTGTCTTTCAACTCTCTACAACTTGCAGTGGTTGTTGTTGATAATAGTTTGATGAGTGAGTGTCTGCTCAGGTACCTCCTTCTGAAGAGGATAGTGACATAAACCATGGGACAGCGATGTTCTTCTCTGCTTTATTTTTAGTTATAAAATAATTTCCTTTGCAGAGGGAAGCATAAAGCCAGTAAATTTTCAGAGGGGTTGGAGAGTGGGTAAGAGTCAGTAAAAACCCTTGTTCTTACAGAGGAACTGGGTTTGATTCCCTGTTGGCATAGTTTTTAAAACTCTTTTATTTACATTTCTTTTATCTTTTTCTCCCTGTTCCACCCTAATCCCTTCCAACACCCCAACACCATGTAGGAGAGAGACAGGGTTAGTGGGAGTGGGGGCGTAGTCCTCTTAGCTTTCCCTGCTGGTTAGGGTCATCGGGTTCCTTGGAGCCAGTCCAATCCTCACATTTAAACTGTCTGCAGCTGGCAAAGAGCTCTTCTCAGAGCCTGTACCAGGCAAATACTTTGCTGCTGTGGACCATCTGAATCAGTCCCACATCCCACACCTGAGATCAAAACAAAAACATGTTTATATCCACAATAATTCCCAGCACCTATTGGTGGCTCACAACCTTTTAATTCCATTTCTTGGGCATCTGATACCTTCACTACTATCCTGTACTCTATTTTAGACATTCGTTGCCTGTTCAGACTATGTAACTGGGGCTCAGGAATGTGACATTGGGTTGCTGACACACGTGCTAAAAAGAGCAGCATTTAGGTGGCTGTTTCTCTAGAAACTGCGCCAAGTATTACTGGGATTATAAAACTCCAGTGAGACAGGCTGGTCGCCCCTTTGCAAGAACAAGAATAACACTAGCTGGTCTCCTCTTTCAGTGGGAAAGGAGAACCAGTGACTGAGCTGAGCTGGCACTCTTGCCGGCAGCTCCTCTACCAAGCAGTGGCCACAATCCTGGCCCACGCAGGCTTTGAGTGTGCTAATGAAAGTGTCCTGGAGACCCTAACTGATGTTGCACATGAGTACTGCCTTAAGTTCACCAAGTTGCTGCGCTTCGCTGTGGATCGGGAGGCCCTGCTGGGACAGACCCCCTTCCCCGATGTCATGGAGCAGGTCTTCCACGAGGTGGGGATTGGCAGTGTGCTCTCCCTCCAGAAGTTCTGGCAGCACCGCATCAAGGACTATCACACTTACATGCTCCAGGTGAGTCAGCCCTGGGAGACGTGGGCAGCGATGCCATAGTCTGGGCGCGCTCAGTAGTCTAGTCTACAGCACGTGTTCTGGAGTGCCGAGCCCAGGGCCTTAGAGCAGAGTGAATTGAACCCACTGTTCTAATGGCCTGTGATGTTTCTCTGTCCTCACCACTGGCCCAGTGAGACGTCAGGGCCTCTTTCAGTCAGTGGATAGCCCATTTGTTGTTACTTCCTCTGGAAGAAATGCACAGCTATCTGGAGTCTCAGACACTGTGGTTAGCATTCTTTTACTCAACAAATATTTATTGAGAACTCACTATGAGTCAGGCATTGTGGGAGATAATAGTTTCCAAGGGGGGTAAACTCTTGAGCTTGCAGTGTTCATGGGAGGCAAGAACAGGCAAACAAGTATAATCACAGTTTCAGCTAGCATTAACTGTTGAACCAGTGGGAGGTCCTGAAGGATGTCCCTTCTTGAGGATTGGGTGCTCTCAATTCATCTACATAGAGTGGCCAGTCACCTGCAGTGTCTAGCACCAGCCTTTGCTTAGGATCCAGATGGCTTGCTTCACTCAGGGTTCCCATAGGGTCTGTATGCCAGATGCCAGGGAGGTTTCTGTTGTCGTGTGAGACAGGGTTTCACTATGCAGCCAGGTCAGCTTTCCTCTCCACCCTTCTTTTCGATCTCCTAAGTGGTGGAATTCCAGGTATGTGCCATTATGGCCAGATAATTGTTAGCTTTTATAGACAGAAATGCAGTATTTTGTCTCAGTTCTGGCTTCTTTACCTTATGTAACTTTTAATTAATGATAAAAACATTTTCTGACACATTTTCTTTATGTCTCTACCATAAACTGAGACCCAACCCCTAAAACAGTTCCCTCCAGTTGGCAGTTGGCCTTATTGTTTAGTGAGGCTAAAATTGACCTTGTGGCCTGGTACACTTTTAAGCGCACACTCTACCACTGACCTGCACCCCAGCTCTAGCAGTTGGGTTTTTTTTTTTGTTTTTGCTTGTTTGTTTGTTTTCCTCCCTGAGACAGGGTTTCTCTGTGTAGCCCTGGCTATCCTGGAACTAGCTCTGTAGTCCAAGGTGGCCTCAAATTCAGAGATCTGCCCAGCTCTGCCCCCAAGTGTTGGATAAAGGCGTGCATCACCATCCAGCCAGCACTGGAGGTTTTAAAATTCACCTTTTAGGCTGACTGTTAGTAAAGCGCCAGCCTCGAAAGCGTGAGGACCCGAGTTGAGATCTCCAGAGCCGTGTAAAGAGCCAGGTGTGGTGGCATACACCTGTGGTCCCAGCAGTGGTGAGATGGAAGGCAGAGACAGGCAGATGCCTGGAGCTGCTTTCCCAGACAAAGTGGAAGCACCTGAGGAATGTGGACTTCAATGACTCTCTGACCTCCACACATGCACACAGGAGCACACACATGTGCACATACACGTGCACACACACAGACATGTACACATGTACATACACGTGTGTATGTGTGTGTGTGTGTGTGTGTGTGTGTGTGTGTGCGCACACACACCATAAAGAAAGAAAAACGAAGTGCAACTCATCTGTTAACTCACACACACTGCTGGTTTTCCTTGGGTTGCCACAAGCTGACTATCCAGTCTCATTCTAAAATAGCCCTGGAAAATTAATTCTTGCCTGCCAACAGATTAGTAAGCAGCTGTCTGAAGAATATGAAAGGATCGTCAATCCTGAGAAGGCCACGGAAGACACTAAACCTGTGAAGATCAAGGAGGAACCTGTGAGTGACATCACATTTCCTGTCAGTGAGGAGCCGGAAGCTGACCCTGCTTCTGGAGACCAGTCCTTACCCATTGCAGTCCTTGGGGCTCAGAGTGAGCGCTTCCCATCCAACCTGGAGGTGGAGGCTTCGCCACAGGCTTCAAGTAAGGAACAGAGGTGTATTCATTTTAATTCTGGTTCTGCCCATCTTAGCACTTACTAACATTTTAGGATCATAATTTAAGTTGAAGAAAAGTAGGCATGGCAGAACAGAAGTTGCTGGATCACATAGCTATAGTGAATCCTTTACAATACTCCTGGTTTAAGTAGTTGTGTTTCCTTGATAGAGACTTCTAGCAAACTGCAGATGAAAGAAATGAAACTATTCTGCCCTGCTGGAGGTAGCTGGTCTATTGTAGGTTACAACTGTGACAACTTTAGGAACCTGGAGAACTAGCTCTTTTTTTTTTTTTTTCTTTCAGGAAATCATATTTTATTTGTTTGTGTAGTTGTTGAGACAGGGTCTTGCCATATAGGCTAGGTTGGTCTGGAATTCAAGTCATCCTGCTTCAGCCTTCCACATGATGTCACTGCTGTGCTATACCATACACTAACTGATTTGCTACACAGTCAGTTAAGTGGCAAATTAGTTTGGACACTTAGTTGTTTACAAACATAAACACATAAGAAATTTAAGTGTTGAGCTGGCGCAGTAGCGAACACCTGTAATCCCAGCACTCAGGGAGGCAGAGGCAGGTGGACCTCTGTGAGTTCGAGGCCAGCCTGGTCTACAAAGGGAGTCCAGGAAAACCAAGGCTACCAAGAGAAACCCTGTCTTGAAAAAAAAGAAAGAAAGAAATTTAAATATCAAATCCTCAAATGTGACCCAAACAAAGTTAGGTCAGTGTTAGAAGTGCTGAGAACAGGAGCTTTTTCTCCTAGGAAGAGGTAAAAGTTAACAGCAGAACTGCATTACCAAAATACAGAGAGGTACCGGACACCAAGGACCAAAGCTCTTGTCAGGATAGACTCAGCATCATGTAGTGATCATAGTCTTCAAAATGCAAGAGAGGCCCAGACAGATTCTCAAACAGCAGGAAAATAGACAGCTCTGTGAAAGGAAGGAAAAGGAACTAGGGAGGTGGCTCAGTAGGTATGACCTGAGTTCAAATCCCAGCACCCATGTAAAAGGTATAGATGACTGTGTGCATGTAATTCCAACACTGGGAAATGGAGACAGTGATCCCAAGAGCTTACTAGCCAGTCATCCTAGCAAAAACTGAGCTTCCAGGACAAGGCAGTGAGAGAGCAACAAGAGACCCAGCATCCTTCTCGGGCTTCCACATGCATCTGGATAGGCACACATACCTACAGGTTCATGTGTATACCACACAGAGGGGGTGGGGAACGGCAGGGTAAGCTACCCCAGCAAGGCCTGAAATTGTATCTGTCTTTGAATATAATCTTTTCGCAGTTTTACTTTCCTGATGTAGGGGAAATTGGGGTGGCTAAGTGCACCTGCCCCACAGGTATGGTGAAGGGAAAAAAAAAAAAAATGAAAGAAGTGGAAAGGAAGTTGGTAATTTAGAGGTGACTTTTTGAATCACACACTACGCATGGGGAACTGTAATGAAAACAGTGCAAAGGACGCTAGTCAGGCCTGGGTGGATATTCAGGTGTTCTGTTTGGCTCATGGCAGGGTTCCCTTCCTTTCTAGGTGCCGAGGTAAATGCTTCTCCTCTTTGGAACCTGGCTCATGTGAAAATGGAGCCTCAGGAAAGTGAAGAAGGCAATGTGTCTGCACACGGGGTGCTGGGCAGTGACGTCTTTGAGGAACCAATGTCAGGCATGAGTGAAGCCGGAATCCCTCAGAGCCCTGACGACTCAGACAGCAGCTATGGTTCCCACTCCACTGACAGCCTCATGGGGTCCTCCCCTGTTTTCAACCAGCGCTGCAAGAAGAGGATGAGGAAGATTTAACTGCAGGAGGACACTTTCAGTCCAGGCTGGCAACATCTAGCAGAGAGCCTTGAAGTTTAAATTGTTCCCATAAGTAGTGATTGGATTCTTATTCTTAAATGCAGGTCGTTCCTAATTTCAGAGAAACAGTTCTTAACCAAGTTACCTTTCACTTTGGCATCGTTTTTATACTTTTTCAGAATAGCTAAGCCACTGTTGACAGACGATTGTGATACTGGCCTGGTAATCAGGCCAAAGTACTGTCCCCAGCTGCTTTTCCACTGCAGGACCACACACATCTTAGCTCCTCTCAGCCTTTTCTCTGGCACACTTGAGAAGAATCATGTCACTTTGATGTTCCTTGCAGAGGTGGGAAGCTGAGATGTTTTGCTTAAACTTCAAAGCTTGCATATATTCACATAAATATATGCCATTATAGTTGTCAGGTTTCACTGATTTATTTTGGGTCATGTCACTGGGAATCCAGTAATAAGATAGTAAGTAAGTGAAACATAACAAAGGTCAGCAGTCATATTTCAAAATGATTTTTGCTCAAGCCTCTTACAAAATGAAAACCCTGTGGTGACAGCCATTATTCTTATGCAAACAGTTGTCCCCACAATTCTTTTCTCGATTATTCCATCCAGCCTCATCAGTTTTACTTTTACTAAGTTCGTTCTGCTGGCACAAACGTAACTATTTTTCACCATGCACATTTTCCAACTGTTCATTTTCTCTTTTGTGAAGGAAGCAAACAGGACCTATTACAGCTGCTGGATGGGCAGCATCTGGTTTTGTTTCAGGTTTGTTTGTTTTTTTCTTTTTAAGACATTTGAGAGATAGCTCAGTGGGTAAAGGCACTTGCAGCTTGACTTTGATCCCAAGAACCCACATGGTACAAGGAGAGAACTGACTCCTCCAAGCTCTCCTGTGGCCCCATACATGCTAGGATGCATGCAGAGGCAGGCACACACAAATAAATTATTTTTGAAAAAAAGTCATTTGAGCGGGGCAGTGGTGGCACACATCTTTAATCCCAGCACTTGGGAGGCAGAAGCAGGTGAGGCTCTCTGAGTTCGAGGCCAACCTGGTTTACAGAGTGAGTTCCAGGACAGGCAGACCTATACAGAGAAATCATGTCTTGAAAAAAAAAAGGAAAAGGTCATTTGAGTTATTCCAATCTTTTCTTTTTAAAATTCTTTGACCATGAGTTTTGCCCTCTTCCAAACAACTTTGTCTTCTGTGTGTCATCCAGGGTTCATCTGAGTTGCCTCAAGCATGGGTAGGAACTTACTGAGCATGGGCAACTTAGCAGCGGCTACTCAAGGCCCCTCCCTCAACAACCATTCTTTGCCAACAGTCCTTCATCAGAGGGGATGGGGCCTCAAGGCACCCTCTCGTCACAATGAAACGCTGACAGGCCAATCTTGTGCAGGTCCATACAGATAACCACAGCTGCAGGACTTCATGAGTGCAAAGGCTATGTCATCCAGAAGACATCTTTCTGCTTTATATCTCCCCATCCTCTGGTTCTTCAGTTCTTCCCATTCCCTCTTAAGTGACGTTCCCTGATTGTTGGAGGGTCGGTACAGATGTACTATTAATGCTTTACCATCACATACTCTCCACCCTTTGGCCAATTCCAGGTTACTGCATTAACTGATGCCCACTGCAATTAGCTGCAAAGGCCACACACAACACTAATTTCAAATGGTGAACGAGGTGACAAAGGAGGGGTGTGCTACCTCAAATGGCAACCCAAGGTTCAGAATGTTTCAGGGTGTTTATGTGCTGGTGCATATGTGTGGGGTTATGTACAGGGAGGCCAGAGACAACTGGAGTCAGTTCTCTCCTCTACCTTCACATGGGCTCCAGGGACCAAAGGCATGGTGTCAGATCTGCATAGCAAGTACCTTTCACCCACTAAACCATCTCCATCCAGTTTCAGGGTTTTTAAAGATAGTCAGATCATGTATCCTAGTCTGGCCTGCAGTCCTCCTGCCTTCTCCTAAAGTTATAACTTATTTTAAAATATAATTTTGTAAATCAATCCTTAATACCCTAAAAATCTATCCTGTTTTGATCGTGTGGTGGTTTGAATGAGAATGAACCAGGGCACTTGACGACCAGAGTTTGGATGGATCCCTAGCACCTACTAAATGTTGTATAGGGGGCTGGGGAGATGGCTCAGCAGTTAAGAGCACTGAATGCTCTTCCAGAGGTCCAGGGTTCGATTCCCAGCAACCACCTGGCAGCTCACAACTGTTTATAACTCCAAGAGCTGACACCCTCACACAGTTTCACGCAGGCAAAACACCAATGCACATAGGGAGGGAAAAAAGAGTTGCTGTGGACATGGTGTCTCTTTGCAGCAACCCTGAGGCAGATCTTCATTTTCATGAACAGAGTGGCCAAAAGGCAATTAGTGTATATAAAGTATTTAGTTCACTTCCTTAGGAAACACTCATTAAGGATCTCCATATACTAGGTCTTCTGCAAGTGACATAAAGACAAGAACTTACAGAGCTGACAGCAAGAGACAGGTAACATTTTAAGAGAGAAAAGCTGAGTATGTCTGAGTCTTGCCTTGCAAATGGTTTCCCCCCTGAAGAACAGGTCAAGCGAGTATGGCAGTCCAGCCCTACAGACACAGTGATCTGGGACACATAGGAAGGTCCTCTTTCTCTTTTTAGACACAGGGTCTTACTCTGCAGCTCACAGAAACCTACCTGTCCACCTTCCAAGTGCTGGGATTAAAAACATGCACCACGATGTCTGGCAGAAAGGTTTTAGTTTTAAAAAAGAAAAAGGTCACATTTTCAGACCAGCATTTCCCACTATGTATGCAATATTAAATAACAGATAAAATTCTCGGTTTCTCTGAAATAATACTGGAGAATAGCCACCAGCCGAGAAAGATAAAAGGCAAGTTATGAGGATTGGGTGGCTGATGCACCTGGCCTGAGATTGAGTCATAGGCCAAGTTGGAACAGTGTTTTGAAAACAGCACACCACAGTCAACTGGAGGGCTTATTAAGCAGCCTACTGGGCCCCCACCCCATTTCTAACGAAGCCGATTTGAAGATGCATCAATAAAAACTGATGATTTTATTTCTGGCCCAGAGACTACACTCTTGAGAACTGGGGCAAACCCTTTGAGCTATGCATGTACTCAACACACCAAATCCTGTCTCACGGAAAAGGTTTTCTACTAAGTACATTATAAATAGGATATGGTTTTGGCCCTGGTTAGGTGGATGAGCATGGGAAACTAAGCTACACATTACCTCCCACCAGCCTGTCTCTAAAGCTCTGTCGTAACTCACGGCAGTCAATCTGTCAGTGATCACATACTTTCTAATATCAAATCATGGCAGGTTTACCAGTTAAAAACTCTTAAGTCCCCATTCAGACAGGCTTCTTGATCATGTGCTGCCTCGTATGAGCACATCTCACATCCCAGCTGGCTGCCAAGGGCACTGCACTGCCCCTCTGTTCCCCCTCTCCCACTCTGCTTAACTTGGGGTGCAGAGTCAGGCACACAGTGCTAAAGAGGCTCAGTCCACAAATCTGGCCTAGTCAAGATTCCAAGTTGTCTTCAGGACAGACGTTCTCTGTGTCTCAGCAGCAGCAAAAGGACTTAAGTTCAAACAATGCAACTTGTTTTGAAGTTTTAGGATGAAGAGTTGTCAGCTTGCAGAGTGGTTCGAAAACGTCCTTGTGCAAATATCAGGAGACGCTAACCAAGGATGGGCACCCACCCACCAGCTCCACCTTTAACCCGACTTCATCTGAGTCCAGTTTCCCCCAGAGCAGTCACCATCCTGGAGAACACTGCTCTGACTGCAGTCCTCTCAGGAAGGACGTCCTCTGCGTGGACACCCAGCTTGTCAGACTCCTGGCAGCAACTAGGCTGACCTACTTGCTTCTCTTCCAGTGCTGTGCCATTGACTCCTGCATGAAGTTCTGAAATGCTGGCTCTTCACGGCTCTCCTCTGTAACTACAGGAGAAAAAGTACTTCTTTTAAAACCCAGTGATAGACAAGTGAATCAGAGCTCCTGTCACCCTCCCATCAGAAACCACATTTTAAAAATATTTTTTTACTTTTTCACGGCAGGGACTCACAATGGATCCCTAGATATCCTGGAACCCATAGTCCCCCTGCCTTAGTCTCACCAACACTGAGGTTATAGGCATGCAGATCCATACCTAGCTGAAACTACTTTTAAGGAATTACATACTCACACCCTCCATTAATGAAATGGCTTCCAGAAGCCTGCTTTATGTATCAAGTTACCAAAATGTGCAGCATCAAAGAAAATATCCCCTTCCTAAGTAACTAAAATAAGGTCTACTCAGGTAGGCAAGAGAAAGAATAGTAGATTTGCCTACAGCCTCAGCCACACAAGAGCTAGGAATAAGATAGGGAACTCCCACATTTGACTGTTAAATATCCAAACAAAACCCCCAGGGGCTGGAGAGGTGGTTCAGCAGTTAAGAGCACTTGTTCTTGCCATAGGACCCAGGTTTATTCCCAGCACCCACATGGCGGCTCACAATATCTGTACTTCCATTTCCAGGGGATTTCTGACCTCTGTGGGGACCAGGCATTATAGTGCGTACACAAGACAAGCAGGCAAGACATACACATGAAGTAAAAATAAATACATCTTTCTTAAAACCCAACATTGAACCAGCAGTGGTGGCACATGCCTTTAATCCCAGCAGAGGCAGGCAGATCTCTGTAGGTTCAAGGACAGCCTGGTCTACAAAGTGAGTTCCAGGACAGCCAGGGCTCTTACACAGAGAAACCTTATCTCAAAAAACCAAAAGAACAACTCAGGATATAGCTCAGTGGCACATGTTTTTATCAGGCAAGAGATCCTGGAGTACACCTTTAACACCAATTAACCAAAACACCAATAACAGACAAAAAAAAAAAAAAAAAAAGTGGCATCTGCAAATGGAGTCAAAACTTCAAGAGAGAAGTTACAAGACATAAAAGGCTGGTGCTGGTGTTCTGGTGTGGGACCTTGCCCGCTGAGTGTGGATCACTCCCTGGACAGGGGTCCCGGAGCTGTAATGAGTCGAGAAGTCATGCTGAGCAGAAGCAAACAAGCGAAGCTGCATGCATTCGCTCCTCTGTGCTCCTGACTGTGCCTGTGGTGTGACTAGCACTTTGAAGTCCCTGCCCTGACTTCTCCACAGTGATAGAACCTGGAATTATGAGCCGAAACAAACCCTTTCTCTACTGAATTGCTTTCGGTCAGGCTATTTTGCCACAACAACGGAAGGAAATGAGAACAAGATCAGAAGTCCATAGAACACTTTGCTGGCACTGTATACTCTAGCCTCTCCTCTTGCTCCTGTCACTGCCCATATGCTCAGGTTCTCCTCCCAACAATAACAATCTCCTGAGAAACAGTGCAGCTCCCTCTACCAGCATCCTCTCACCTCTGTGGTCAATGTCATCAGTGTCACTGTCAGCTTCCTCATCCTCTTCATCCAAGGTTCCTCGAGTCAGGATCAACTCAGAAGGGTCCAGGATAGGAGATTCGCTGTCTAGGATTAAAACATTAATCAGTACAGAAGTGTCTTCAAAGAGCCGGTTCTGAATAGTTAGGCTTATCAGTAGGCAGCACAAGAATGCTCTTGACAAACAGAAATGCTGGAGAGTGAGTCTTGTATAACTCCACTTGTCATTTCTAACAAGGTTTAGTTCACAGAGTGATTCCATTAGGCCCCTTATTTCCACAGAGGAAAACATAAGAAACATCTCTCTGAAACGCCAGTATGCTATTTCACTAGCTCACAGACCAGAAGCTATGTTTTTTCCAACGAAAGATAAAGAAATACAAGGCAAATGACGACACGGGGCAATGAAACTTCTGGGTGGGATAGAGATTCAAGGGAGGCCTGAAAAAAAATACAGGGTGAAATGATACAGAATAGAGTAGCCAGGGGCAACCTTCAAGCAATGGAAGAAAGGGGAAAAGGGGAAATCAAATGTACAACTAGCGGTAAAACTCCCTATTCAGTGAATAAGGACTAAGCCCAAGAATAAGAAGAAAGTCTAATCAAGAGATTCCTGGCACAGGACTCAGTAGAAGTTAGTTTCTAGAAGGACCTAAAACTATAGAAGGCTGTGACCACTGACCATTGTTTAAGAGCTTGGGAGGCTGGGAGCTCAGCAGGAGAGGGGTCTAAGACAGGCTGAAGGCAGTATAGGGAGGGAAACAAATCTCAGTGGCTGGCTGGTGTCTTTAGTCCCAACACCTGGAGGCAGAGGCAGGCAGATCTCTGAGTTTGAGGTCAGTAAGGTCTGCATAGTAAGTCCCAGGACAGCCAGGGGCTATATAGCAAGACCCTGTCTTAGGGGTGGAAGGGATCTTAGGAACCTATGATCCTACACAATGATAATGCCAGGATGTGCTAACAGTGAACACTTCCTTCTACACCCAACAAGAATTACCCAATACACTGGTGTCTTCTCAACCATCCACAGAAACTTCTCCCTTCAACAGCTCATCTGGATGTTACAGCAGCAGATTTACCACCTGCCTTTTCAGGTCCCTGTGAGGGACACTGGAGGACTTCAGTATACACATATACAAGATAGCAGTGTGTTTGGAGAATGGCACAGAAGCATTCGTATTACTGGCTACCCAGGCAGGCTCTAACTCTGCTGTTCTCTGATGGACATAAGTAAACAGAGGTCACAAATAGAAGCTTCATTTTTTTAATAAGATAGATACGCTAATTAAAAAAAAATGTTGCTAAAGGAAGAAAAAAATGAAAGTATATAAAATGAAATTTAAAATATATTAAAAAATAAAAGTCCATCTATGTGGTTTCTGGGTCCTACTAAGCTACAACAAATTTCCACACAGTTCTTTTTTTTCCTGGCTGTCCTGAAACTCACTCTGCAGGCCACACTAGCCTCGAACTCAGAGATCTGCCTGCCTCTACCTTCCAAGTGCTGGGATTAAAGATGTATATAACCATAGTCTGGCTCGACCATGCTTTTAACAGGCAGTCTATCATCTTGCCTCTCAAGGAGGCAGGGAATATGAATGTATTTTTAGATTTATTACTTTATTTTATGTGTATGAGTGTTTTGCCTATGTGCATATTTATGAGCCACATGTAAGCCTGATACCCAAGGAGGTGAAAAGATAGTGTTGGCTCCTCTAGAACTGGAGTTGTAAGTAGCTGTGAGCCATCATGTGGCTGTTGGGAATTAAACCTGGGTTCTCTGCAAGAGCAGCAAGTGCTCTTAACTGCTGATCCATCTCTCCAGTCCCAGAGCATATATTTTTTAACATGAGCACATCCTAGACATTCTCAGAGGGTCAATCATAAAAATAACAGAAAGAAGGAAGGTAAGAAAGAGGGGTAAGGGAGGAAAGGCAGGAAAGGAGGGAAATACAAAGAGACAGTAAGGTAGCAGGATAAAAAGACTAAAATACAAAAACCACAACACAAACCCATAGCAGTTAGAAGACTAAGCAGTTTAAAACAAAAGCAACATGTAATACAAAAGATAATATCCACTAAGTAATGTAACAAATATGCAAAACAAATGCTGGGCAGCGGCAGCACAAGCCATTAATGCCACGACTCAGGAGGCAGAGGCAGAGGCAGAGGCAGATAGATCTCTGAGTTCAAAGCCAGATGAGTTCCAGAATGAGTTTCAGGAAGCCAGGGCTGCACAGAGAAATCCTGGGGGGGGGGCGGGGGGGACAGGGGGGGGAGGGGGGGGGACGCAGGCCAATCGTGGTGGCACACGCCTTTAATCCCAGCACTCAGAGGCAATGTCAGATGATTCCTGTGAATAAAGGCCAGCCTAGACTACAAAGCGAATCTAGAACAGCTGGGGCTTGAAATTCTTCCTGCTCTTGAGGTAGAAGATGCAAGATCACAGAGCTGTCAGCTGATAGGCTGATGTGGAAGAGCATGCTGAAACACATGCAAGGATAGCCAGGGAGAGGAAGTAGTACAAGGAAGAGCAGCCTGAGCAGATTCTGAAGCATCTTATAAAACTGCCACATAATTAAAACATGTGCAGGCATGTAAGAAAAGAAATAAGCAGAATAAGCAGAAAGTCCAGGACAAGCTAGACTGTTCAGTGGATGAGGGCACTGGATCCCAGACCTGATGAGCTAAGTCTGCTCTGCAGAAAAACGGGTAAGACATTATTAGACATTAGTGTGTCCATGTTAATCTCATTTTTCATAACTTCACTAGGGTTATGTAAAATATCATTATTTTTAAAAAGTATACATGAAGGATTCAAAATAAAAACATATCTGCATGAGTTTTAAATAATTTAGGAAAAAGTAATGTCTACTTTGTGATATGTAAAGGGGAGGAGGCAGAAAGGAAAGAAAATATAGATGTTAACATTCCAGGACTCTCAAAAGTTACAGCAGTTCTTTGTACTAGTAACATAATTTTCTGTGTATCTAAAATGCAGTTATAACACTCTGTAAAGAAAGCTGAGTACCTTGCCAAAGTGAAGTACAAACACTCAAAAGAAACTGGGAGCAGCACAAAGCCGCGCACATCCTCAGACACTTTCTGCTCTGGTACAGACACACGTGTGCAGGTCTCCATGTCCCTGTCCTTTCTCTTGCTGGCTTATGCACACAGGGCTGCCGAGTGGATCCACCCTCCATTCCCTTCTAACACCAACAGCACTTCATTACCTTTGCCAGTGCCTGTGTCCAGGGCTACAGAGCCCATATCCTTCCGAAGGCGCTCCAGTTGCTCCTTTTGCTGATCACTCTGGGCACTCGCCTGTAGATGGGGAAATGCCCTCATGTTAAACAAGAGATCCTGGGCTGGTGAGATGGCTCAGCGGGTGCATGTTTGTGGCCTGAAGACCTAAACCCAAACTGTAGAGCCCATGCCACAGGAGAGAAATGACTCCTGCAAGCTGCCCTTTGACCTCCATATGTGCTCCCAGACACAAATAAATTTAAAGACTGTGATATTTTATTAAGGTAGGGTCTCATGTAGTGTAGGCCACTATGTAACCATGGATGACCCTGGACTTAATAGGAGTCACCACCATGACTGGCTAGTGAACAAACCCAAAGTTTTGTGAATACTAAGCAAACACCCAATCAACTGAGCTACGTCCCCACTCCCAAGATGCCAGCCTTTTAAGAGGAAATTAGGAATTATAAAATACTAGAGGCTGGTAAAGAATGAGACAGACATGCAGACAAAACCAGCGAGTCATGTGGGCCCAAGTGATAGTTCAGTTGCACGCTGAATGAAATAATTCAGAACTTATACCCAAAACCATGACAAAGAACCATCAAGTGGAGCTTGTACAGGCTCTATGACCAAGAGCAGGCTCTGACAAATAAGGAAGATGGTGGGTAAGAGCTGTGAGACCTCTCTATTCCTCAAAACCCTACTGCCTTTAAACCAACCTCAGAGAGCGGGTAAGGTGGGGCATAAAAAGGGCTTGGTATATGCATATCAGCAAAATTCTGACATTTAAAAATTCGGGTACAAAGTCAGCATAGTGGCTCATGCCTATAATCCCAGCACTCAGAAGGAAGAGGCAAAAGAAAAAAAGGATAAACATTCAAATACAGATTTGCCAGCTTAAATGAACAAGTGCTTGTGGACGAATGTGGTGTCACCTGCTCAGAGTATTAGACCAGCCTGGGGGACAGTGAGACCTTAACCCAAAACCAAACAGGACCCAACAGGGCAAGGCACGTAGCTCACTGTGTAGAGCACCACCAAACCAAAGAAAAAAAAATTACAAGAATTTAAAAGAAACACACAAATACCATTAGTCTGTTATGTCTCAGTAAAGCTAGAAAAAATAAAATAAAATCATGTGAAGGTAAACTTAAAACTATACTGAAAGCCTGAAGAAAAGCACTCACTCCAGGATGACAAAGATGGTTATTTGCAGGGAGTTAGGATTACGGTTTGTTTGTTTGTTTTCTCTTGGTTCTGGGGAGCAATGTCTCATGTAGCCCAGGCTGGCCTCAAACTCACCACATAGCTGAGGCTGGCCCTGAACCTGCTTTCCACCTCTACTACCCAAGTGCTGTACAGCACAGGCTAGCATTCCAGCTGGTCTCCAATCCCTCCACTCCACACTCCACTCTCAGTATCTGGTGACTGGCTGGACTACAGGCCTGTGCCATAGGGGGTTTAGGCAGACTTTCTAACATACACATCTCCCTCTTACCAGTGATTTCTTCAGACGCTCATATTCAGGCCGATATTCCCTGGAAAAAGAAAAGCCTTCTAAATTCTCCTTAATGACACCCACCTCCCACCCTGACCTATTGTTTCTGTTTTCTTAAAACCAACAACAGAAGACCTGATCTCACTAAATCCCCTGTGGAATTCAGCAACTCCTGATGGCTGTGTTGCAGACACTAAAATGAAATACCAAGACTGAGAGGTCTGAGGAAAACAGGTGAGAAGATGGGTTGTACCTGGGAAGCCCAATGTATAAAAAACTGATGGGCCTGAGCAACAACAGAACAGACTCCATCATGAGCCTTGGAGACATATATTAAACCCTTGCTGGACAATCAGTGGAAAATAATGTTGCCTGGTGAACACACTGTGGTCCTTAGGAGCAAACTGTGACACCAAAGCAGCATGCTAGCAAGCAACACGTGAGGTCATGACTCCAGTTTCACAGATGCTGATTCTACTTTCTTTTAGGGGAATGGGATCCACTGTCAGCCATGACAGCTGTTGTAGCAGGTACTTATGAATGTCTCTATGTGTCGGCAACTATTAGGACTTTGCATATATTTCTTCAAACAATACAGCGACTGAGATGTCAAATCCACACCATGTCTATGTCTGCAGGCAATGTCTTACAGGGACATAACCATGACCTTCAGTTTCTTAACTATCTACAGGTCTTTTGTCCTACACTGACAGAAGTGAGAAGTTGCCCACACAGCTTTCAATACCTATCAAGTGGCTCTTTAAAAAACAACCTGAGGGCCCTGCATCACAACATCTCAGTCCAATAAACACTTCATATTTCTGTCTTTTTACAGAAAAGAACGGAAACATGTTACTCCAGGGTGTGGTCATGTCTAGTACACATGTGCAAGGCAAATATACTTTACACAGAACATGTAGATGCTTCTCCTGGGGAACCAGTGGCCAGGTGAGCACGTGAGTAATGAAGGCCACATCAACAGCCTTCCTCGGTCCTCACCTTTCGTACTCTTCGGCAGCACTGGTGACCTGAACACAGAGCTCATCGAAGCCAGTGCCCACCACAGCAGACACACCCACCACCTGCCAAGAAGCACATCAACACCAGTGAGGGATGGTTGTGTATTTGAAAATAGCGAGCATTCTGCTTCTAAAATTTTGTCATTGAAAGAGTCAGAAAACAGATTTGGATACTTAAGATGTCTCTGGCAAAAAGCAAAGCCCTAACTGAACAAAACAGCATACCTAGCCAGGAGTCAATGAAACTAAGTCAATGAAAAAAAATCAACAATTTAAAAGAAAACTATACACCGGGCAGTGGTGGCACAAGACTTTTGATCCCGGCACTCAGGAGGCAAAGACAGGTGGATCTCTTAAGTCAAGGCCAGCCTGGACTACACAGAGAAACACTGTCTCAGAAAACAAAAAAAAACAAAGAAACAAACAAACAAACAAAAAAACTATAGCTAGGATTAAACATGTAGCAGGATCTACAATCTATTCCCCATCAAGCCAAGCCAAGCACATCACTTTCGGCTCTCTCAATACTGTTGCCTAGGCCATACTCTGGGCCACCCACACCGCTCTTGTTTTTGTAAACCCTACCCTCCTTCAGGGTAAATCCTAGGGCTACCGCCTGCAAAATCACTCATTTTCATCTCTCCCTCCCAATCATCAGACCCAACTGCCAATCATCCCTCTCCCACTGGCCACGTTATGCTTCCTGCTCCATGTACCCTCCTAAACTGGATGGCAAACTTTGGTGAGAGGGCTCTTACTGATCCTGTGAAGCACGGCACTTTTTGTCTTTTCCAGAAACGCTGGGGATTAAACCCAGGCCTCGTGAATTTGCATGTTAGACAAGTGCTCTGCCGCTGAGCTGCATCCCAGCCCATGAACCACCTTTTACTCAGCAATGCTGTGGCAGTCACTCGGCAGAATGTTGACATGCTTCAAAGCCAGGTAAGGCTGCACTAAGACACTGTCTGCAGCTACCATCAGTGTGATGAGGAGATAAAACTTACCCTGAGCGAGCTGTAAAATTCATCTAACACCAGGCTCATGGAACGGGTCAGGTTACTGACGTAGGTAGTCTCCTGGTTCAAGGCATCCTGGAAAGCCTCGAAATCCTGCATCCACTCCACTGCAAAGCTGTGGTCAATGATGTCAGTCTGTGCCAGAGAGAAGGTAGTCAGCAGCAACCTGAATCAAGATCATGAACTAATCCATGGCAAAATCATTTTTTTAATTAAGAGGTAAAACTCATTATCTGTAGATTTCTTTCTCTGGCCCCATTCCCAGCTCCACTGTAACCAACCATAAAGAGGCCTGTCTTGCCTCTGACCAGTATTTCCTGTAGTCCGCTTGTCCCTCTGATGACACAGAATCCCTGATGCTGAGGGATGACGGATATGCAATGGATGAGGGGTTACTCTGTCTGCCCTACAATCGCTTTGGACGACAGTGGATAAGTACCCACTCCATCTGGCAGCACCCACTTTGCTGATGTGCCTATGACTTTCTACAGTGAAATCCTAATCACTGACAGCACCTGAGGTCATGTTTCACACCTACTAGCAAACCTTCTAACATCAGTCAGGGTTCTGTGTTAAAGACAATGTGGGAATCCCCACAGGAAGTGCCACTCACTTTGTTCATGACCACAATGAAAGGCAGCTTGGTTTTGTACAGGATGCTAAAAGAAATGAAACATGGAGGCAGCATTATTAAAGGCATTTTAAGCCAGGCATAATGTCACATGCTTGTAATTCCAGCACTCAGAAAGCCTCAGCAGGAAGGTCATGAGGTCAAGGCCAGTCTGAGTGCTTGTTTCCAAACACAACTAAAAAGCATTTAAGCTCCTGGGACTAAGTAAAGAGAACAGAAAAATCCTCAATTCAGTCTCTCCCAAAAGGAAATAACCACCAACATCAAGCCAGCAACAGAGCCTCCAAGCCTATAGCATGTGCTGCTATTGATCTGCTTTAATATTTTATCAAACAATTCTCTCTGTCTGTCTGTCTCTGTCCCCCAAGTGAAGGAATGAGCATTTCCTGAATACTCAACATAGGATGGTTACCTGGTAGGCACTTTGCATGTATGCATTATGTCCTTCCATCCACACAAATGCCATGTAAATGTATACAATTTTTGCTTTTTCTTAAGACATTTATATCATTTTGTAGCCTACACTAGCCTAGAACTTAATTGTACAGTCCAGGCTGGTCCTTGAATTTGTAGCAATTCTCCTGCCTCAGCCTCCAAAAATGTTGTCCTACAGGTTGAAAACTTCCCACATTTACTGAGTTAGATGGACAAAAAAAAAAAAAAAAAAAAAAATTATATATACTTTTAAAAAAGTACGCATCATGAATTGTTTTTAAAGTTGATCTTTCCTTACCCTTTAGTTAAGGTCTGCATTCCCAATGGCTGACCCAGACCTTGACTGTGCGAGGCACACCCTCTCCTGCTGAGCTCCATTCCCAGTCCTCTGACATCTTGAGCTATGTGTACACTGTAAAATGACTTCTATACTCAGGATACTCAAGTAGCTGTTTTTACTCATGAATGTAACTGTGGAACAATGCTATTTTTCATAAAATTTCTATGTGGATCAGGCCTTCTTTTATCCAATATGAAGTTTGTTCCAAGACCTATTATACTGATGATGGCTCTTGTACATTCCCCAAATTAAACTGTCAGTTTCCATAACACTCTCCTTCAATGTCACTCTGAATGCACAGTGAACCATGAAACATCTTTTCTCGCCCAATGCAACATTTGGGATGAGCGAGTACATGCCTGGATCCAAGATCTTTCTGTTACTGTTGTTCTGAATGCTATGTCAGACAGGGTCTTACTCCACAGTCCATATCAGCCTTGAATTTGACCCCCTTCACCTCCTGACTTGGGATTCTAGGACTGCACCACCTCGGCAGGCTATACAAAACTTTTTATCCCTAGTATCTCCTCATGTTCCACTTTTTTGCTACTTATACAAAACCTAAGCACCATTTTCACCAGAGAACTCTATTCTATCCAGATTTGGATCTTACCCAGCTAGGAGGAAGTACCACTATTTCTCTGACAGGCAGGGAGGAAGATGCTGAGAGAAAATGCCAGCACCATATGTGTCCCTCTTTTTTGGCCTTCTCCTAACCCATGCCAATCAACTGAGTATTAAGTACAAATGATCACAAATCCAGGGCACTATAGCCAGGACTCAAAACCAAAAGCCAGATAAGGTAAATCTGGTGAGATAGCTCATCAGTTAAGAGCATTTATTGCTTTTACAGCAAACCCAGGTTCAATTCCCAGCACCTATATGGTGGCTCACAACTGTCTGTAACAACAGTTCAAAGAGGTCTGACAACGCCTTCTAGCTCCTGCACACATGTGTTTTACATACATGTGCAGGCTCACATACATACAAATAAATAAGTAAATGCCTTTAAAAAAATAAAAAGGAGCTGGGTGTTGTGGCTCAGGCCTTTAATCCCAGCACTCAGGAGGCAGAGGCAGGCGGATCTCTGTAAGTTTGAGGCCAGCCTGGTCTACAGAGCAAGTTCCAGTACAGCCAAGGACTACAAAGAAAAACCTTGACTCAAAAAAACCTAAGTAAATAAGTAGGAGAATGAGAAAGAGGTCTCATATCTGACAGGACACCACACCTACCATTCAGCACTCACCTGCATGCATATAGCATATTGGACATGAAGGTCACTGGGTTAGTACTCCGTGACGTGTCCATGACATAGATGACCACTGTTGGAAATGAGGATGCCTAGAACCACACAGAAAGTGGAGTCTTAATCATCACTCATCACTTGCTCCCACACAAATCTTTTCCTCCCTTTCTTGGCAAGAGAGAACCACTGTGGGTGTTCAGAGCCTCTCCCTCTCATGTTCAGCCCCAGGCAGTGAACAGAGGCTGACAAGGCCCAGCACACTCACCAGGGCCTCTGTGATGATTGTCCCCGAAGCTGACCAGGTGAATACTTCAATCTGTCCGGGTGTGTCAATCAAGACATATCTGGAGATATTCCATCACAGAGAATGTTAAATATCTACTTATCCAAGAGTGCAATAAAACTGCCAAACGCCCCACCATGCCCTAACGCTGTAAATTACCAAGTTTGCTCCAGCTCAAATATGCCAGTGAGAAGCAACAATGAAAGCTGTGGTAAATAATCAGAGGAAACTGGTAATGACAGAAACTCTGAACTACCTATGAGACATCAGCAAAACCAGAAAGCAACTATCTTGGGAACCATCTGGTTTCTTAGGGATGAAGATAAAGAATAAAGGGAAGGAAGAAATAGAGAACTAGGGGAATGGGGAAATATTGCCCACAAAATGTTTCTGAAGTGATGACAACATTCTAAAATTGATTGGCAGAGATAGTTGTATAACCCTGTGCACAATTCTGTGCAAGTACTAGAAGCCACTGATTCGTACAACTGGAAGGCATGTAAACTGTGCCTTAATAAATATACATTCAGAGACAGGGAAACTTGGAGACAGGGATATAAGTCAGTATAGAACACAGGCTCTGCATGGACTTAGGATGTTCAACACCCTGGGTCCAATCCCCACAAAAATAAACTAATAAGAAAGTTAGCAAATAGGGGCTGGAGGGATGACTCAGAGGTTAAAAGCACTGGCTCCTCTTCCAGAGGTTCCGAGTTCAATTCCCAGCACCCACATATGATTATACCATCTATAATGGGATCTGATTCCTCCTTCTGATGTACATGAAGACAGAGAGTTCATATACATAAAGTACATGAATAAATAAAATTTAAAAAATAAAATTAGCAAATAGATAACAGGATAGGCACTAGGGAAACAGAGAAAGAGAATCTGAGTGATGATGTTAATGACAGGGAGAAGTATGAAATTAAGTAATCATGCTCCATGCACTAATAAGTAAATATAAGACATTTAAAACAAAAGGCTTTACAGAATGCTATTTTTCTGATGAAAAAAAAAATCTACCTTAATTACTGCCCTCAAATTATTATCTTTGTAATAATACTTTATGCATAGAAATAAGTGAAGTGCCAGTTACTGAATAACAATAATTTTACTGGGACTGACAGTGACAGCTTCATGTTTCGAATGTGTTCTTTTTAAATAACTTATTACATTTATTTTGTGTGTATGTGTAAGTACAGAACCACAGCAAGCATGTAGAAACCAGAGGTCAACTTGTAGGAGTTCTTTGCTTCTACCACATGAGTCCCAGGAATCAGACTGGGGTCATCAGGCTTGGTGGCAAGTGCCTTTGCCTGCTGAGCCATCTTGTTGGCCCATTGTTTGAATTCTTCATAATGAGCATAGCTCCTTTTTTTTCTTTTTTGGTAATACAGCAAATTATCTTTCTCCCTTAGAAAAAGTAAACATCAAAAATTTAGTAATATAACTGGGTGCAGTGGTGCATGCCTGTAATACCAGCACTCAGGGAGGCAGAAGCAGGTGGATCTCCATGAGTTTGAGGCCAGCCTGGTCTACAAAGCGACTCCAGGACAGCCAAGACTACACATAGAAACCCTGTCTCAAAAAAAACCAAAAAATAAGTAAATAAATAAAATTAGTAATAGTTACTGGTGAAAAATGATAATAGGATTAATTATGTGTATACATATACATGTATGTATATGTGTGAGATATATCAATGTCTTCTCCTTTACGGCAGACTGTGCTCCCTCAAACAGTGAGCAATAGTCTTCCCCTGAGAAAGGAAAAAAAAGAAAAAGTGTTTCTCCAAAAGTCATGTGAAAACGAAAGGGGATAATGAAAGGGAATGTTGGGAGGGGTCGTAGTAATTGAGAGTAAGCCTCTGTATATCATCTCAACGATTTTCTTGTCCACCTTTCTTTCTTTTCATTTCTAATAACCTCGTCTCAGTTAACAGTTTCAGGGTTCAAAGGTCCCCAAAGTCTCTCAAAAGTCTCAAATTAATCAATGACTGGCAACAAATGAGTAGTCCATTGAAACCACTTACTTGAATGTATTCTGGGCCTTCTCAATAAATTTCATCACCTAGAAGAGAGAGATGTCACTTATAACCGATCTAACTCCAACACAACCCCAGAGGACCCCTCCAGGGTGGCACGTATTGCATGCACCATCACAAAGCACAGGTGTGAGGCAAGGAAGCAGAGCCACACAGCGCCAAGACCTGACCTGGACCGTCGGGGTCCCTTGCACACTGGCCACATTTGTTCTAAAGAGCCGGGGACAGGCTGCTATCCAGGCATGCGGTGTATTCCCAGCCCTGTGTGACGCTTCTGCTTCTGCCTCCTGAGCTGGGAATCCTGGTACAAACTGTCCCACCCAGCTTTGGTCGAATGTTAATGTCTCAAGTGGCAGAAGCAGATTACAATGATTATAACCCACTCATGGAAGTGACCGAGAAAATCTAAAGAACGACAAATACCTGTTACAAGAAGAAAATGCCACTATTTCACCATTCCTTGCTGCAGCTGATCACACTGCCATCAAGTCCAGCCTCAGTGTAACACCACGAGCAGATGATAGGACAGAGAAAGAACCTACGACTTTTGAATTTTTGTTTTGTTGTCTCACTAACATTAAATGTGAAGCATCACACCTCACCCACAGTCTATTTTCCTGTCTACCAAAATACCTGCATGTTTTTGGTATTTCTTTGTTTTTGCTGCTCTTCTTTACCAATGTGATCAAGCTAGAGCGTGTTAAGAGTCAAAATTTTACAGTGCCATGCCTATGAATGTAAGCGATGTCATACCTGATCAAATCTGGTAGCAAAGAGATTGAGTGAGGTCACTATGCCACCATTAGGCCCAAGTCCATACCTGAACACTCAGTTAAGGATTTAAATTGCACATTATGAAATTATACAGTTAATGTGTCATTCCCCAACAGCAGTGTTCGATCAATGGGTACTGGCAACCCAGGCCTTAACAACCGTACAAATTTAGTGTTACAAGAATAATTTATTAGCAAGGTCCTCTTTGTTCATCGCTTACTTTATGATTGGCCACACAAGATATAGACAATAGCATGACCAAATTTTAATGAATAGACATGGGTCAAACGGTGAGGCTGCTGGCATCAGCAATTAAAATCATCTATGTACCCAGGCGTGGTAGCTCAAACCCTTTAATCACAGCACTGGGGAGGCAGAGGCAGGCAGGGCAACATGTAACACTCGTTACTCTGATTCTTAGTAATCAAGCAACCTTCCTAAAGTTATTTTCAGTGAGTCACATGTCATGCCAAAATCAATCCATAAGAATGGATAAAACTCAAAGGATTCTTCTGAACTTCCTGGTCTGAGTTCCTATGAATGACATTGATCATTATCGTGGCTATCTCACCCAAGGCGACAGCACTTCACTGGACCCAGGCAGGTCACTCATCTCTGATCTTTAATTGCAACACTTGCAGTCTGAGTGATGCTAAGGAAACTGACGTGAGATGGTAATGTATTGCTGGAAATCTCTAATCTCTCGTACATTCATCTTATTTACCTTACATCTTCTTAATATAATTACTTAAAGGGAAGTAAGTTTTATACTTGTGTATATAAAGTTGTGAAACTTGACAGGCACAACCACTCCCTCAAAAGCAATAAAAGTGGCAGCAATTCGTGAGGCCCAAATCAAACCCACAGCAGATGAGGAAAAGGATACTGCTTCATGACTTCTTTGTACTTCACTGTATCACGAATATCTGAGGGGAAAAGGGAGAGAATGGTTCATTTTAATTTCTAAGGCATGCTCTCAGTTGTTAGGACTGGCTTTAAACTTTCTGTGTAGCCAAAGCTGCTCTCCCACCTCAGCCTCCGGAGTGCTGAGGTTGCAGAAGTGCCTCCAAACTGACTTAGGCTTCTTACCAACATTTTCTTACACCTTCCTCCACACTTCCTGACTAAAGATAACTGCCGAGTATCTGATGAAGAATGTTGGGCTTCTGGTTGTGGTGACGCACCACTTTAATGACAGCACTCAGGAGGCAGAGGCAGGTGAATCTCTGAGTTCAACAGCAGCCTGATCTAGAGAGTGATTCCAGGACAGCCAGGACTATACAGAGAGACCCTGCCTCAAACAAACAAACAAAATCTTAGGCCAGGAACTCTTAATTATGATAGATTACATAAACCTCTAAAACAAGATTACAAGTTTTAGATGTTTCAATGATAGTGGGTACATGCACAGGAAAACAAACAAACCAAAAACCTCACACCAAGAAAAGAAGACCTCGTACTTACTACTTCACAGTAAAAAAGGCAACACAGACATATGAGCATTCAATCTGTCTACTAATTCTATCAAAACCTATCCACGAAGGGCTGGAGAGATGCTCAATGATTAAGAACACTTGAAGCTCTTACAGAGGACCCAGATTCAGTTCCCAGCACCCACATGACAGCTCATAACTGTGTATAAATCCAGTTACAGGGGTTCAGGGCATCCTCTTCTAGCCTCTGCAGGAACCAGGCACACATGCAGTACACAGACACACACGCAAGCAAAACAGCCATGCACATAAAATAAAAATAAATAAGTAAAAACAAACCTACCCACCAGTCTATAGATGAACAATATATTTTTTTTTTTTTATCCTCTAGTTCAGATAGAAAACTTGTTGCCCAGCCTTCCCAAAATGATCTATGGGTTTTGTTTTAGTTTTCAAGGCAGGGTTTTTCTGTATAGCTCTGGTTGTCCTGGAACACTCTCTGTAGACCATGTTGGCCTCTAACTCTGTCTGTGTCTGCCTCCCAGGTGCTGGGATTAAAGGCGTGAGCCACCACTGCCTGGCCTAATCTATGATTCTTAAAATAAGATTTCCCCCTACCCTTAATTTGTATATTTGGGGAACAAGAAGCTTAATATGATTAACAAGTGACAGTATGGCCTGGGAATCAGGAAGCATGGACCCAGCCCTGTCAGTGGATCACACACACATTCATCCCCAATCTACCCTCAACCCCATTTTTTCTTTTCCAAACAGAGTGTAGCTATGTAGGTTGCAATGACTCTGAACTCTCAATATTCTGCCTCAGCCTCCCTTGGATCACAGCAATACTTAAATCTCTCTGATAGCATCCATCAGAAAGCTCTCCGCAGAACAATGCAAACTTTAACCCTCCACCCACACCCCCATATAACTTTGGGAATAGAAGAAACCTTCCTACAGATCAGAGTGAATTATAGCAGAACTCATAAACTCTGACAAAAGACAAAATGTTTGTGTCAGGTTATAAACTGACTTAATGTCGCTTCTCATTCTCAAATCAATTACAACAAACAAACAAAGGACAAAAGAGATCAATGGGAATGATACAAATGTAGGAACCATTAGACTAAAGAGAGGGATAAATCTGTTCTGAAACTCAAGCAAATCCAGAGAAAATAAAAGTAGTTAGTTAGTTAGTTAGTTAGTTAGTTAGTTAGTTAGTTAGTTAGTTAAGAAAGAAAGGAAGGAAAGAGAGAGAGAGAGGAAGGAAGGAGGGAGGGAGAGAGGGAGGGAGAAAGGGAGGGAGGAAAGGAAGGAAGGAAGGAAAAAAGAAAGGAAAGAAGGAAGAAGTTAAGAAAGAAGGAAAGAAAGAAAGAAGTTAAGAGAGAAGGAAAGAAAGAAAGCAAAAAAGAAAGAAAGAGAAAGAAAGAGAGAGAGAGAAAGCTGAAGACATTCACCAATGTTGGCGGGAAAGGGGACCTCGTGCACAGCTGGATCCAGGTTGATTACGTAAGGTGGAGAGCCTCTGTTGTGCAGATGTCCTGTGAGCCTCTGCAAAAACAGGGGGACAAGGTTGGAGGGTGGTGGCCAAGGGAAAGGAAGAGGACCAGAGAATCTCCATTCCTTTACTGACCATGCCTATAAAATCTGTAACAATTTCCTTCTTCCCTCCATCTATTACGCTTGTTCAACACTGAACTCTGTTTAAAAGCCATATAGTTCTATTACCCATTTAGCATCTATTACCCTCTTCCCTCCACCACGTCTTCGCTAACTTTGAATGACCCTCTACGGATTTTTTCCCTCTATCTCCTCTACTAAAACATTAACTCCGTGAAGGCAAGAACCCCGTCAATTTTATTTCCACTGTCTACTCGGAGCTTAGAATGTGGTAGGTCGAAAGATGGAATTCTTTCCCAACTTTTCATGCAAAACCTATGTGTTGGCATTATATCTCTTTTTTTTATACTCTTTTATACTCTGTAAGCCTGGGCCTTCGGAAAGCTGCCAATTCACAGCAAGACCATTTGAGTTGTACCAAGCATGCACAAAGGTTACTCCGGAGAAAGCCTGAAGTGACCCAGGCTAGCGTTCGAGACTTGGGGAAGAAACTGGAGTTAGAAGCCAGCCCCCCAGAAAACCACCCGCCCAGACCCTCCAATTCCCTAGGTAATTTCCTCCCTTCCTCCCTGGCCACAGGCAACCTATCCAGCGCCACCGCTTCCGAACAGTGCACGATACCTGTACGAAGGTAGTTTTCCCGGATCCTGCCATTCCCAGCACCAAGAGACACACGGGAAGCTGAGGAGCCCCAGAAGCCTGCGGCTCACCAGGAGCCGCGGGCGCCGCCATCTTTCCCTAGCCCCGCCCACCGCTCACGGAGAAGCCGGAGGGCGGGAGTCTCGCTACATTCCGGGCTGCGATTGGCAGAAGAATCCGCCTTCCTGAGTTTAGGGCTGCGATTGGTCAAGTGAACTGACCTCGCTGAGTTTAGGGCTGCGATTGGCCAGACTATCCAAAGCGCTCAAACCGGCTGCTATGGGCCGCAGCAAGGCTTCTGGGCGTCAGACTTTCTTGTATTACTTAGGTGCTGTAGTTGCCAAGTGGGGTCTTTGGACAAGTAATGGGGAGCGTAGAGAAGCAGGAAGGGTTGACGAGAGTGAGGTAGTACCCGGGAAGGGCAATGCTCGCATCCCCAGGGCCCCAGCGAGTTAGGATCCCAAGCAAGGGGTCGTAGTGCTGCCTCCCTGTCAAGATTATGAGGTTAACTAAAATGTCAATCCACCTTTCTGGCTTATTGTTTGTTTGCTTTTGTTTTGTTTGAGGTTTGTTTTTCGAGACAGGGTTGTCCTGCACTCTTTGTAGACCAGACTGACCTTGAACTCAGAGATCCACCTGCCTCTGCCTCCCGGAGGAATGCAAAGGGGATGAAAGAACAGAACGGTGTTTGTTGCCCAAATGTAGCTGAGTAAATTAATAATGAAGGATAGGGGTAGAGGGAAGTAGGATGAATCTCATAAAGAAAAGATGTGTGACAGAGACTAAAAAATGTTTTCTTTGTCCATCTGTATGGCCGTTTGTCCGAGAGAAGACGAAAAGACTAGATGGTGAATAAAAAAACGAAAGGCCCAAGTGAAGCAGAAGTAAAAGTCCTTAAAAGTCCCCTTTAATACATTTACACAATGTAATACTACGTAGCAATTAAAAACAAGGAAATCATGAAATTTGCAGACAAATGGTGGGAACTAGAAAAGATCATCCTGCGTGAGGTATCTCAGAAGCAGAAAAACACACATGGTATATACTCACTTTTAAGTGGCTATTAGACATATAATAATAGGATAAACAGACTACAATCTGTACACCTAAAGAAGCTAAGCACGAAGGAGGTTCCTGGGTAAAATGCTCAATATTCATTCAGAAAGACAAACGGGATAGACATTGGAAGAGGGAGAAAACTGGGAACAGGACAGGAGCCTACCATAGAGGGCTTCTAAAAGACTCTAACCAACAGGGTATGGAAGCAGATGCTGAGACTCAGCCAAACTTTGGGCAGAGTGCAGGGAATCTTTTGAAAGAAGCAGGAGATAGAAAAATCTGGAGGGGACAGGAGTTCCACAAGGAGAGCAACAGAACTAAAAAATCTGGGCCCAGGAGTCTTTTCTGAGACTGATACTCCAACCAAGGACCATTCGTGGAGATAACCTAGAACCCCTGCACAGATGTAGCCCATGGCAGCTCAGTGTCCAAATGGGTACCCTAGTAAGGGGAACAGGGGTTGTCTCTGACATGAACTCAATGGCTGGCTCTTTGATCACCTCCCCCTGAGCCACAGAGGAAGACAATGCAGCCAGTCCTGATAAGACCTGATAGGCTAGGGTCAGATGGAAGGGTAGGAAGACCTCCCCTATCAGTGGACTGGGGGAGGGGCATGGGAGGAGAAGAGGGAGGGAGCTACAGCTGGGATACAAAGTGAATAAATTGTAATAAAAAATGAATAACAAAAAGATTTTTAAAAAAGTCCTCTTTAAGAGGGAGGTAAAGAGCTGTGGCAGTAGGTGAGGGGTGCTGCTGGATTTTGTTGACATTTGTGCAAACTGGATAAAACTCTTGAGGAGAAAAAAGAAGAATGTATATATCTATGCAGAGATTATATAATGAAGTGAGGAGGCTGTGGAGATGGCTTTGTCGGTAAAGTGCTGGCTGTGTAAGCATTTACCGGGCCAGAGCTCGCTCCCCTGCGCTCAAATAAAAGCCTGAGCTTGGTGCCAGGCTCCTGCCATCCCAGTGCTGAGGAGCTCAGTGGCCAGCTAGGTCAGACAATTAGTGAGCTCCGGGGCCAGTGAGCGAGCTTGTCTAGATTATCAGGCAGATAGTGACTGAACTCACCTGACTCAGGGCCTCCCCAGGCAGCCCAGTCCGGCTTGTGTTACTTCTGTTGGTGATATAGGAGACTGTATTTGAAATTTATTTTGCTGGCGGTACACACACAGTTCGGCTACTTCAACTGTTTGAATTTGGAGTCTTTTTAATTGCAGTTGTGTGTGTGAGTGTGCATATACGTAGTTTGTGCCGTAGTTTGTGTATAAGCTAAGAGGACAACTTGTGGAAGTCAGCACTCCCCACCGTATGGGTCCCCAGGGAACTCAGGTGGGCAGGCTTGACTGCAAGCACTTTTATTCACTGACCCATCTCCAGGCTGTGGCGTCAGCAATATGACAAGTTGAAGCTTTGTATGGGGAGGTTCTCTAATAACCTTTGACCTCCTTCCTACTTTTAAAAACAAAACAAACTTTTTTTTTTTTTTTTTTTTTTTTTACTTTCTTTTCTTCCTGCATCATGTGTGCCTGTATGCCAGAAGAGGGCATTATAGATTTCATTATAGATTCATTACCCATGGTGGTTGTGAGCCGCCATGTGGTTGCTGGGAATTGAACTCAGAACCTTTGGAAGAACAAGCAGTGCTCTTGACCTCTGAGCCATCTCTTTAGCCCTCCTTCCTACTTTTCTACAAAAGAAAAAAGAAAAAAAGCTTGGAAATTCCTATCTCAGCATAAATGACTATCAATCATATTCTAAGGACATGGGAAATCCCACTCATTATTTTGGAAGTAAAAACAGGCCCACTGTCATTTTTTTCTTCTTTTGATAGACTGGGGTGGCAGAAGGAACTCAAACCTGGGGATAATTTATTTTAAGTCCTTTTAGTTAACAACTGTGTAAGACCTGGGGTCTCACAGCTCAGGAGTTCAAGATCGTGCCCTTCCCAGAAACTCCCCCAGACCACGACTGTTGCAAAACCAAGAGGTTTATTAACCATTGCGCAATGGGGTCACCCCTGCCGGTCAGCAAAGAGTGGCACCCGGAGACAAAGGCCTTTAGGTTTTTAAAAGAAAAATTGCGGGAGATTTGAAGTTGCAGTCGTGGCAATTTAGGATTGGCCGAGGAAGCTATAAAGTAAGATAATTGGTTAGTCTTAGGTGCTCAAGCTTGGCCAGTCCTGCCAAGTGTGTATGCAGCTGCAATTTAAGGTGGGGGTGGTTAGCTCATCCTTGAAGATTAGGGGCTGCAGACTTTTGGCTGCACGTCAAAAGCTACTCAGAAGAAGTCTGGGTTCGTTGCTAAGAAATGCTATCTCAAAGACAGAAATTTTTTTTTTTTTTTTTTGCTGAGTGAAGGTCATTGCTTGCTTGCCTTTTTTTCTATCTGTCCTCATAGATAGGGTCACATTTTTTCCATTCTCTGGAAAGGTACTAAGAGGCTTTAGCTTAACCTGAACCTAAAACTCAAAACTATAGGCTTTAGAAGACATACAGATTACAAAGTTAGTCTAACCCTTTCAACTGTACTTCCCAGCACTCAGGAAGATCGCCAAGTTCAGGGCCAACTGAAAATACAAAGATGGCATGAGGTTGGATTAAGTCCCATATGAAGTTGCATCCACAACAGATTAGCTCCCAAGACCTGCTGGTCATGGTGTGTCATTCGAAGTGGGAGAAACGTATATGGTACCTGAAACGGAACCCTGCCTCCTGCCCTTGCAGGACTTCTTTTTCCTCCCCAAGGAAAGTGATCTGATGATGCAATATAGATTATCCTGACCACACACCATCTTCTAAATATTCAGTGGAACCCTACCAAACAGGAGGCAGCATTGACTCCATATAGATTGTTAATAGTGACATGAACTCTCAAGTGTGGTTCTGTCTCGGTTAGATTTTAGTATCAACTTGACACAACCAAGTCACCAGTGGGGGAGACTCTCAATTGAGGGATTACCCAGATCAGACTGGCTTGCGGGCATGTCTCAGGGAGACTGTCTTGATTCTTAATTGATTTAGGGAGGTACAGGACACTGTGGGCAGCGCCATCTCCGGGCAGGAGGTCCTAGATAGACAGGAAGCTAGGCATAAGCCAGAGAGAGCTAGCAAACAGCATTCCTCCATGAATTCTGCTCCAGGTTCCTGTATTGGCTTTTGTAGTGCTTTGAATAAGTATGCCCCAACCCCATCCTGAGCCCCAAGGACTCATATATGTGAATGTTTAGTCCCAGGGAACGGAACTCATAAGATTAGAACAGTTAGAATATGTGACATTGTTGAAGGAAGTATGTCACTGGCGGTTGAGGTTTTCAGAAACCCACACCAGGCACAGTAGTCTCTCTCCTCTTTCTTCTCTTCCTTTTCTTCTCTCCCCCTCTCTGTATCTCTCTCCTTCTCTCCCTGTGTATCTCTCTCCTCTCTCTCTCTCTTTCAGGATGTGGCTCTCAGCTACTGCTCCAGTGCCATGCGTGCTGCCATAATAATGGACTAAAGCTCTGAAGTTGTAAGCAAGACCCCACTTAAATGTTTTCTAAGAGTTGCCTCAGTCATGGTGTCTCTTCACAGCCACAGTAACTGAAATAACTTCCTCAATGAAGAAGTACAGGGTGAAACACACCCTTTCCTACCTAAGTTGCTTTTCTCCATAGTGTTTATCACAGTAACAAGAAGCAAAAAGACAGGTTTAAATTACCTTACCAATTTGAAAGGTAAATTGGTACAGTGTGACACCAGAACAGGAGCCACATTCCTTTAAAAGTCTCCGTAACTTAGGAGAGTAAGTTTCTGTCTCCTAAACCTTAAATATACCCTGCAAAACATCTTTTCCAACCTGCACTAACCTCATAACCCTGTGATGTATGGCTTCCCTTTGCCTTATAAAGTGTGTTTTCAAGATGTTTTGATCTATACCAGCTGCCCCACAATATCTGACTCCCCTTCCACACGATGTATATTCTTGCTTTTATTCTTACCTTTTGTTGTATTTTTTCTAATGATCTTGTCCCTGTAAACACACTTACAGCTGTTTTCTAATAACTTTAACCTTTCCACGTAAAGGGGACCTCAAGTAGCCAGTAAGAGGCTACTCTCTAAACAATCTTGACTTAGAGTGAGACAGCTGGTGGCAAGTCCTATGTGCATCTCTAAAATAAAGAGATGCTTGCTTTGATCAGACAGTCTTGGATTCGATCTTTCTTTTAGCATATTCAGGTTTAACAACAGTCACTTTGAAAATAATTCTAAATAATTGCTGAGGATGAACATGTACCACAAGATGGTTGGATGGGAAACGCAGAGAAATTCCCCTTGCCCATGTATACCAAGAGAGATACGCAAGGATGGGCACAAGTTACAATGCATAGATGCTTGCAACATTCAATAGAGAAGACCACCTATCCTCCAAAACCATCCCCAATCTTCCAAATTTAGAGACTTGTAAGAAAAATGTATGAATCCCATTCCCCACTTGTTGCCTTTCTCCAAGTAGCAAATGGGCAGCCAACAATGTTTTTCCCTGCAGAATGTTAGTAAAAGTGACATGCTGCTTCTAGACGTGAAACTGTACTGTGACCCCTGCCCCCGGCCTCTTCTTGGCAAATCTGACAACTCTATAGGTCCCTTTGGCAGAACAGTGCATAGAAATGGAAGACCTTTGCTTCCATGTGTGGTCCTGCAAAGGAGAGCAACCTAGTAACCAGGGACACCTATCTGAAGCCACTGACGATGTGAGAAATCTGTCTGTTGGAACATTCTTGTTTCTGCAAGCAGCTCTAGTACACTCTACCACACCACCTTATCTGTTCAGAATGACAACTGACTAGTAATGTAGCCACACATTGTGGTACACAAGCTAAAAATTTAATAAGGACTTCTAATAATTACAAATAAATCTCAAAAGTACTGGTGTCTGGGAAAGCAATATTTAGAACAAGCTTATTGTGTGTGTGTGTGTGTGTGTGTGTGCGCAGATATAAGAAACACAACACATAGAATAGGATCCAGAAGGATTTCGTCTGAACTTTCATGTTTATTTTTCAGTACTGAGGACTGTACCTAGGAGCTTTTTTTCCCTTGGTACTCCAACACTCTACCACTAATTTACATCCCCTTTTTTTTTTTTTTGAGATAGTTTATAATATGGCAAAGTGGCCTTGAACTCACTCTTGAACTTGGCAGTCTTCAGCCTCTCTCAGGTAGCTAGCTGATATCACCCAGTGCAGTTCCCATTTTATTTCTGAACAAGGATAAGGAGTTGTAGCTTCTTATACTTCAGAAAATAACTTTAAAATTTTATAGTAGCTGGGTGCAGTGGCTCATGCCTATAAGGGTAACACCCAGAATGATGATGAAGGTGGATTTTCCATGAGTTCAAGGCCACATAATGGCTACATAATGAATTTCAGGACAACCTTGGCTATCAAGTGAGACCCTGTCCAAAAAAAAAAGAGAAACATAATAAAGTTTACAACGAAAAGAGTATCTCTCCTACCGCCTTCTTAATGTTTTAGCTATTTCCCTCATTGCACACCTCTTACCAGTTTCACCTACCCCTTTTTTACCCAACTCTAATCATTCACCAGCACTACTTTAGACTTTACACTAATTTCACATTTAGTGTATGAGTGTGTGTGTACACGAGTGCATCTGAGCACCTGTACCATGATGTCCCACGTAGAGGCGAAGGGACAACTTTCGGGATTCTGTTCTCTCCTCTACAATGGTTTCTGGTGGTCAGACTCAGGTTATAAGGCCTACCTGCAAACACCTTTACCATCCCAAGATATCTCGCTGGTAATACTTTCATATGCATAGTTTGTTTTAAATGACTCCCCTTCCTCTGATTTTAAGGCCTTTACATCAGCACTTGTCTCTTCCTAGTTTGCTCAATAGGCTCTAATACTCAGGTCCAGCTTCTTGTTATTTCTTTAGCATCACCCAGTTTAATTTCCTCCATAAATGGGTTTGCTAACTGAGGTAGTTGTATTTTTAGTATCACAACAGACTGAGGCAGAATTGTGATTTATTGCACTGTGAATCCTATTTTATAACAAATGACCCTGTGTTATCCAGTGGTCTTCCATGGGAACATGTAAGAATCATGAAAAATCTCAAAGTGATTTTCAAGCTGGTCCAGTGTCACTGGCCATTCAACAGCCTCCCCAGTAGACCAAGACTATCGGGGCCTAGCAGTTCCAATTCTTACTTCTCTGACTTATAAATTGCATTGGCTTTATTCTTGATTTGGTGCATGAAGGATGGCCAATGTGGCTTCGGGACATATTCTCGGGACATCTCTTACTCTTTGCCTTAAGGTGTCCTCTCCCTCTAGCTAAGGCTTCTTGATACCATTGTTCCTCCTTCAGTTGCTTTTTCCACTTCTCTAGCTTCCTCTTTATAGACTGTAGCTTGTAGTGTTTCTGAGCCAGATTCATCACTTCCTCCTGTAACTCCTGGAACTCTCTGTTGATGCTAACATTCAGCTCTGAATTCAGCTTCTTAGCCATGGACTCTAAGGTCTGGGCCTCTTGCTTAAGCTCGCTGGAGGTGTATTCTCCCACCTGAGGCAGTTTTAGTGTGTGCAGCTCTCTGTAGAGGCACGCCTTAAGCTGCAGGAATTCCAAGCATGCCTGATGGGCCTTCAAGGCTGTCTCGGCTTTCATGGCCTCTAGTTCCTTCTGTAACGCCTGGATTCTCATCTCCTGGTTCTCCTTTACCAAGGAAATGTGCTTCAGTGACTGAATCTGTTGTGCCAGCTCGAATTGGGTGTGTTTCCTCTTCAAGATCTCTGTTTGAAGGTCTGCATTTTTCTGGGCAAATTTGGACATCAGTTCTTGCTTCTGTCTCTTAATCTCCCCACATTCCTGAGAATACTCATTCCAGTGGTCCTCGTGTTTCTTTTTACACTGCTCATTCCATTTTTTTAGAAATTCCACAATGTATCTGTTCTCATTCTCTAGATAGAGCCCCTGCTCTTGGAGAAACCTGCTGTTTTGTAGCAGGCTTTCCTGCCGGAGCCGAGCCTTCTTTATATTTTTGTTCAGTAGCTCTAGTGCCTTAATTGTCCTTTCTACTTTTCTCTCCAATTTTGTTAGCCTCTCTGGCTTGAAAAATTCACTTAGAATAGAAAGACACGTTGGTGGTTGGGAAGAATCTTTCGGACTCTGAGCTAACCTGGAGGAGGAACAAAGGAAACACTCCTTTATCAGTTCTTTAAACACAATTGAGAAAATAATAACTGGAAACTAATACAGACCCTTGTCTTGTATTCTTACAACAAACAAAGAAAACTTTGGGTTTCTGTTGTGGATATAAACATGTTTTTGTTTTGGTCCCAAGTGTGAGATGTGGGACTGATTCAGATGATCCACAGCAGCAGACTCTTTGCCTTGTGTGGGTTCTGAAAGGAGCTCTTTGCCAGTTGCAGATAGTTTAAATCTGAGGACTCTGGAGAGTGAGAGCACAGAGCACAGAGAGTGAGATCAGAGAAGAACTATGCTGCTCCTGCTTCCCCCTTGCTTCTCCTGGTGGCTGTTATGAGACAATAAGTTGTGCAATCTCCTTTTGTGAAACAAGAATTGGACTGGCTCCAAGGAACCCGAAGACCCTGACCAGCAGGAAGCAGCTACCTAAAAGAACTATGCTCCCTCTCCCACTAACCCTTTCTCTCTCCTAACTGCTGTTGGGGTTTTGGAAAGGACTGGGTGGCGTAGGGGAAAAAAGATAAAAGAAATGTATTATAAAAGAGTTATTAAAAAAGCATGCCACCAGGTTTCCATCATGCTCAGATAGTGCCAGTGCTACTTCAATTTTTGTGAATTCAAGAACATTAAGAGTTATCTGGCCAGAGAAATGACATTGAGAAGATGACTCCATCAAGTTGTCTGTAGAAATCTAGAGGGTTTTGTTTTAAATTAAAGATTGATGTGGGTGGGCTCAGCTAACAGGGGCAAGATGGCACCCCTAGGCAGGAGGTCCTGATTTGAAGAAGAAGAAGAAGAAGAAGAAGAAGAAGAAGAAGAAGAAGAAGAAAGAAGAGCTGGCCAAGCAAGTCAATGAATGAGCAGTGTACTTCCATGGCTCCTACTCCAGGTCCAGCCTCAAGGTTCCTGTCTTGAGTTCCTGCCCTAACTTCTTTGGATGATAAACTGTGATACAGAAGTGTAAGGTTAAATAAATCTTTCCCTCCCTGGGGCTGCTTTTGGTTATGGTGTTTCATCAGAGCAATAGAAACCCTAATTAAGCATCTCACGAAACATGATGCTCAATGATTAGGCTATGCAGGCTGGTTGGACAATAAACATCTGGGATCTACCTATTTCTATGTCCTAATCCTAATGTTAGGAGTTCCAGGAATGTGCTGCCTTACCCAGCTTTATAAGTGGGTGTTGGTGATCTGAATTCAGATCCTCATGCCACGCAGGTGGCAGATACCTGAGCCACTGAGCTGTCTCCCAGGCCCTCCCTCTTCCATCATTTTTACCAAGCTTAGGAGACCTTCCATTCACATCAATCTCCCCCCTCTTAGTACCTACCTGGTTCCAGAACTCAGATGTTTATCAGGGTGAATTTTGGGCTTACTGATGGTCTTTGCCAAAGAACTTGTACCAGGTGTCTGCTCTTGGGGAACACAATTTTCATAAGGTGTCTTTACTTTGGGGTCAACATGATGCAACCTTGCACAGCAAGAGTTGTCATGGCATACTTTCTTAGTCTGAACTACTAAATTAGTCCTTGGAAATTGTCTGGACTTGTCCCCAGACCTGGGACTTCTGTCTTTTGAAATGCAGTTACCCTGCTCTTGGGATTCCATCTCTTGTCCCACTTCTGAGAGTGAGACATCCAACCTCACACATCCAATCCTATTACCTCCAATCCTCTTTCAGGCACCCTCCACACCCTCTCAATTGTCCAACCCTCCCATTTCTCAGGCACTATCATCAGTTAGCAGGATCAGGCTGAAACCCATATAAACCCCAATGGCCTACCACTGTATCCTCTTACTCAGATTGGGGTCAAATTTTCCCTGCACAGTGATCTCATGTAATGTCACAGAAGTCTCTCTAGTGATTTGGTGTCTCTATGGTGAGGGGCTGAACTGCAACTTCTGCTGAGTCTGAAACTTCATGGGACCTCACCTAAGATCATTGTGAGTCTGTTGGTATTGGGAATGGCAGGAGCCCAGAACTACCTTTTAGAAATGACTACCTACTCAGTAGGAGCCTCATGAGGCAGGAGGAAGGTCAGAGCTGAGGAGAGGAGTCTTTGGGGTGGAGAGTCCAGGTGTTTGCTTTCTGGGTAACTTGACTAGCACTCCAGTTCTTTTCCCTGGGAAACCTGGGACCTTATCTTGGGTCAGAGTTAGCTTCTGCATAAGCCCAATGCACAGCTGGTGTAACTGTTTTTGTTGTACACTGTCTTGAGGATGAAATGAACAGATTCTTAAAAGCCAGGTCATAAGAGGAAGCCTTGACTTGAATACAGAGAAAGCTGTCAAGTTAGCAGTGAAGACTTTCCACTGCAGGACCTACCACATTCTGGGAATGAACAAAGGTGGGCAGTGGTGACGAAGGCCTTTAATCCCAGCACTTGGGAAGCAGGAGCAGGCAGCTCTGTGAATTTGAGGCCAGCCTGGTCTACAGACTGAGTTATAGGACAACCATGGGCTACACAGAGAACCAGTCTTGAAAAAATAAGTGTAAAGAAACACCTGTATTCAAACAGAAAGCAAGTAAGGAGATGACTAAGAGTTAGGGAGATGCTGTTCGGTGGATAATCAAGCTAGCTTTTGATCTGAGAGTTGAATGTTGAACACAGGTGTAGCACATGGAATAGATAATCAGGCAGAAACAAAGAGTGCAAACTTTAGGTGTGGTCAGGAAAGGAATGGGGTTTGGCTCCAGGGGCTTGCCCATCTAGGTTATAATTCTACCACTGAATTATGTCCCTAGCCCCATTTTCCCTCTGTTGTTTCACCTGCCCTCAGTTTTCATCTCTTCTCATTCACTTTTTAAAGATTTCGTTTTATTTACGTGTTTATGTGTAGACAGACTTGCTTTTCAGTAATCACACTTTACCTTGCCTGTGGAGACCAGAGAGGGTGTGGGAACCACACACACCCACACAATTTTTAAAGTTTAAGTGAATGAAAGGGGCTGGGGATGTAGCTCAGCTGTCAGGAGTGCTTACCTGGTGTACAGAATCCTGAGAACAAGCTCTAGCGCCAAATAATGCTTGGGGTAGTAGCACACACCTGTAATCCCAACACTCTGGAGGTGGAGGCAGGAGGACCAGCGATTCTAGGATTTCCTCTTTCTGTATAGCAAGTTCAAGGCCAGCCTAGGATACGTGAGAACAAAGAACAAAAAACTTTTTTTTTCCTTTTTTAATGTAAATGAAGGGCTGGAGAGAGGGCCCAGTGGCTGAGAGCACTTGCTGCTCTTGCAGGGCACCTGGGTTCAGTTCTGAGAACCCACATGGCGGCTTTAGGAAACATCCACGGGAACTGGGGAACTGGCCGTATGTGGGTGTTACTGCAGTATCGGATCAGCACTTGGCACCCTCTGTGATGGGTGCGCTTTCAGAACTGCACCGTGTAACACTTCCTTAATGGTTTTCTTGAGCCAAATGTGTCTTGACTGACACACCCAGACAGACTGACACATTCACCTGGCCAGCTTGGGGCAATCATCACGAGGACCTTGTGACTATTCTTGAATCTGAGTTTGAGCCCTAAAATCCACATGGTGGAAGGTGAGGACTGACTTCCATACATTGTCCTCTGACCACCAAATGCTCACTGTAGAGCCTGAGCACACACGTGTGCTTGTGTACACACACATATTTAATCACTCCATATTATACATATTGCCATGCCTAGCATCCAGGTGTCTTTCAAAAGGACTATAAATGTCACTAGTGTCACACACACACACACACACAATTTTTGTTGTTGTTTTTCAAGACAGGATTTCTCTGTGTAGCCTTGGCTGTCCTGGATACTCTTTGTAGACCAGGCTGGCCTTGAACTCAGATCTGCATGCCTCTGCCTTTGCAGTTGTAGAATTACAGGCAAGTGCCACCACACCCAGTGTCGCTTGCTATGAATAGAAGAAATCCTGAGTTGTATAGAAATCTTTTTGCAATGACTTATTTTAATTTTCTGAGTGTTTTGCATGGATGTCTGATGGAGGCTTAGTAATATATATAGTAATTGTGCTGGTTAGGTTTTTGTCAACTTGACACAGCTTAGGTCATCTGGGAAGAGGGAACCTCAACTAAGAAAATATCTCTATCAGAATGGCCTATAGGCAAGTCTTTGGGAACATTTTCTTAGTTAATAATTGAGGTGCGAGGGTCCCCACTGTGGGTGGGGCCAGCCCAGGTCAAGTGGTCCTGAATTGCATAAAAAACAAAACAAAACAATAATAACCCAAGCTGAGCAAACCATGATGAACAAGGAAGCAGCAGTCCTCTATGGCCTTTTGCTTCAGTTTCTGCAGCCAGGTTCCTGCCTTGGCCTCCTGTCCCGGCTTCCCCTCACGAAGGACTAAAAGCTGTAGAATAAAATAAACCGTTTCCTCCCCACGTTGCTTTCAGTCACTGTGTTTAGCACATCAACAGAAACCAAACTAGGATAGTATCCCACTATGTGACTATTACATTTTATCTATCTAGAAGGATGGAAAAGATAATGGAGTAGATTTTAAAAAAGAAAAAAGAAGCACACATGCTAGTCTGAAAAGTTCTTGCTTAGCAAATAGCCCTCCTTCAAAAGCTGACTCACTTCTGTTTTGAACACTTCTATCCTATGGAGCATCTTCTCTACTGCACCTAACTGGCCAAGCAGAAAGAACTGCATGGTATACTGTGCTCCTTTCCCATTAAAAGGAATTTATTTAGGCACACCTTTGGAGGTATTAACCTTTCAGACATGCAGGATGTGGCAGGCCAGAAAAGCTTGCATCATGGCGCCAGAAAGCAGGAGTGAATCTAGATGAGAACGTTCTCCCCAGTGCTAGGGACCAACCAGGCTCGTGTACATGCTGGTCACCCATTAATCAGAGCTACATCCCTCTTTTTTTTTTTTTCTTTTTTTTTTTTGAGACAGGGTTTCTCTGTGTAGTTGGCTGTGGTACTTTGTAGACCAGGATGGCCTCGAACTCCCAGAGATCTGCCTGCCTCTGCCTCCCCAGGGGTGGGATTAAAGGTGTGTGTCCCCACGCCTGGCTACATCCCTCTCTTACATAGTCTTCAAAGCACACACATTACTTCTACAGATTCCAACAGACTACTGGCTACTCACTCATTTGCCATATGAAGGGCTGAAAGAACAACAAGAAAGAAATGAGGAGTCTGGCCAGTGTCCTACTAGGCCGTGTTTTGTGAAGACGAGAACAGATTTGGTGGACAAGTGGTAGTTCCTGATGAACATGTTGAGCGTCTCTGCACTGTGCACCTCATCATTCCTGTGCAACCTCCCACACAAGTGGGCACATAGCTGGGACTGGATCTTATTCTCACGGTGCATGTTCAGCATTATTACTACTGCCAAATCATTTTCAAAGTATCTATATAAATTTCATCACACACACACACACACGTGTATACCGAATACTGCCATCCTTCGTTATATTATATGAATTTTAAAAACTGAATAGCATGACTAGGACAGTCTACACAAGTCTTGTTGATTCCTGGCCTTGTGAAAGAAAAGGAAAGGGCCTGCTACAAAAGATCCACAGCAAACAGGCCATATCCCTGCACCAGCTCCCTTTTGTTGCAGTCGTTGAGACCAGAAGGTTTTAGGAGCCAAGGAATTACTGAAGTGACCTTTAACTCCCCCCAGTTCTCAGCCATCTTCTGAGTCCCGTGTGGTGTCAGCAAGGTGTCCGACAGCAGGGCAGCAGCAGAGAACCAGAGACTTTCTAAGTGAGTTATTTTATTTGCCATTGCCAAGTATTCTCCAAGTCCTTGTCACCAGAACATAACATAGCTTATTTCTCCTCCTCCACAGCCCTCACCCTACTACAGGAGCTCGAAGGGTGTAAGCAGGAATTAAAAATAAAAACAGCACAGACACATCATTTTCTCGACTTGTTTCAAAATGACCCCTTCTGGAAGTGCCCAATTCAAGTTTTAATGCCCCATTATTGAAAAGTGGTCTTCACAAAGCACACATGATAAAGCTATTTAGAGGAGCACAGAGAACAGAGACTTCAAGGGTAGCAAACAGCCTTTCAGAGTTTGAAAAGGTAGTATTTGTCCATATCAAGGCTACCTTGTAAGTGGCATATGTCATACAATAGGCAGGAATATAGAAGAACAATATTTACACAAAAAGAGGAAGAGAAACCAGAAACACAATAACAAGGCTACTTACTCTAACTCATGTTCCAAAGATACCGCCTTCACAGGGAAGAAGCCCACTGACCACCACCAGACAAGCATGAGGTACAGAGACCATTCTTTCCAGCTCCAGAGAAATATCTACATCTGGTGTCAAAGTCTCACAATATAAAGCAGATAGAACTCCATATACAAACAGTAGGACAGTATTCTCAGAACATTCAGACAGGTGGGTTAGTGCCATGAAGGAGGACTTAGTGGGTGTGGCCTAACAAGTGAGGTAAGTGCAAGGGAGAGGGAGAGCACACCTTGCTTTGCAACCTCAGCGGCATTTCCAGGTATCAGGGCACCAGCAAGGGACCGAGTCATTTCTCCATCCTTAACACCAAGGAGTCAAAATCAAGCTTTGGGGTAGTGATTCTGGCAACCTAGGAGGGTAGGACAGTGTTTATGCCACTGCCCTTCCCTTCCTTCTTATCTTAGTGTTTGGGACATAGACTCCAAGGGCTGTGTTTCCGTGCCTGTGGGTCAACTTCGTCCCTGCTCCAAGAGCAATTGTAGTGAGCTCCTAGCTTATTCATGCTAAGTCATTTTCTTCCTCTCAACAGTAAAACCAAATTATATACAAGCAGCCTCCCTCAGATTCTGCTTCCCAGGGTTCAGGGCTACACTGTAACAAAAAATGACAATTCTGCTTTCCAGTCCTCTTATGTCACAAACACAAGGATAAAACTTGTCATGGCTTTAAAAAAAAAAAAAAATTGGTTTGGAACTGTTTTGTAAGCTAGGTGATGGAACAGCCACTAAATCAACAGAGAATTCCAAGAACATCTGTAATCCAGACAGGAAAGAACAAAGAAAACCAGCTAATGATTTCTTTCTTAAACTTGCACAGGGCCGGCGCCTGCCACTGCTTTTTCAGGGGAGCTCCTTGGGAATATGAACCTGCTAAGGCAGGGCGGGATGAGAGTGAACTAGTCAGGAAGACCATGAAATTTATACAGAGGAGCTGAGAGCCACAGCCCCACAGCCACAGCTCAAAGCATCTTCAGCCAGCCCACGACTCAGGGCCCCTGCACGTGTCCCCATGCCACCTGCACCACATCCACTCTCCTAGGAGCGCTCTCAGCGGCTGCCTACTTCCTCCCTCGTTTGTGAGTGGTCTTGGTGGGCTCGGCTTTCTGGGACGGTGCTAGGACTGGCTCCTGCTCTGATCCTTTACATAAGGTAGACACTACCAGTTCCTCGTTCCCGCCCTCCTCCTTCCCTGCCCTTGGCTCTGCCTGGCCCTCTGGAGGCTCAGTTCGAGGCTGCTGCTGCCTCCTCAGCGACCGTCGGCTCCCGTGCTGCTGCCGCTGCTTCTCTTCTTCCTGCTGCCGCTGCTTTATCTTCATCAGCTTCTCAAAGCTTTTGGTGGTTGTCGGGTTTACAACAAACCAGTCCTAAAGAGCAACAGCAGACATGGGACCACGTAAAAAACATCATGAAGGACAAAATGAAGGGACAGGAAGAATGGGGAAGGCTGTGTTAGGTATACAGTGCAGGAGGGACGGGAGCACATGGGCCTTAGAGCTCCATTTTTGAATGAGTATTGTGTATATGATTCTGTGTAGTTTAATATGTGATCCACATACAGGCGTGGTGGTGCATGCCTGGAATCTTAGTACATACAAGCCAGAGGCAGAAGGATCATTTTCAGAGACGCAGCTGGTCTGAGGGCAGAGACTGCTTAAAAGATCTTGTCTCAAAACCCCAAAACCTGGGCTGCAGAGGCAGCTCAGCAATTAAGAGCGTGCTGTGCTCTTCCAGAGGACCCAGGTTCTGGTCCCAGCTAACACTGGACAGCTCACAACCACCTCATTAGAATATCTACTCACTGGAAAAAGCTAGGACAAAGGAGCACTACTGTAGGCAGAGGAGCACTACCAGAGGACGGATCAGTGAGGCCCCAAGTGTGCATAAATGTATGTGATGAATTTTTTGAAAAAATTAATGGAAACAAATAAGGAAAGTGAAGTCTAGCGAATACATGATGAAGGGGACAGCTGCTATTCTTAATGAGCTCTTGCAAGTGCAAATTGATATGCCTTCAGTGAAGAACACACACCAAGACTTGGATGCAGAACACGTCAAATACCTCACTACTGCTTATTTCTTTTTTCAGACAGGGCCTGATGGGGCTGAGGCTAGCCTGCCAGGGTTAGGTGTACACCAAGATCTCACCATCATAGTAAAAGCAACATTCCAGATACTGGGCTAAATAACTGATTTTGCATGTTGTCACTCTGTTGTTTTTCCTTTTCTTTTGTGGTGCTGAGTTGTACAGCCCAGGTGAACTCAAAACCTGTGATGCTCTTGCCTTAGCATATGCAGGGGCTGGGATTATGGGTGTGCACCACCACATTCAGCTCACATGTTTAAGTCCTGAGAACATGTATACCTACAATGATAGCACGATGACCCTGAATTGCTGATCCATCTGCCTCTACCTTCCGAATGCTACAATATCAGGCATTTGCAACCAGGCCAAGTATAATGTAAAGTAAGCTCTCTGATTCATAGATTTTTTATGCAATAATATAAACAGCATTAAAAACTAGTTGTTGGAGGACTGGAGATACAGCTCAGTGGTTAGGAGCACTGGCTGCTCATGCAGAAGACCCAGTATCTACATGGTGGCTCACAACCATCTGTAATTACAGTTCCAGGGGAGCTGCTGCCCTCTTCTGGCCACCAAGGGCAACAGGCACCCTCACAGTACAGACCTAATCAGGCAAAACATTCATGTACATTAAAATGCTGTAAAACAAGATCAAACATTTAAGTGCAGTCTGGTTCCCAAGTGCTTCACTTAATCAAAGTTAAGAGAATTATAGGGGCTCAAAGATGCCCAGCCACAGTGAGCTCGAGAATCTTCACAGAAAATACATTTGCATTCATCTAATTTCAGAGAGCATGCTAACTCTGACAAGTTCTTTTTGCCATTCCTAGTACATGAAGCCAGGGGCAAGGTCCACTTCTTCCAGCTTGAAGATGGACACACAGGATTACACAGACACTAGGAAGCATACCTCGGCATGGACAGAATTGATGTGGTACTTGACACCACTCTCTGACACAAATTCTTTCTGACACAGAAGACATTTGTATTTTCCAGCCACAAAGGTGCCCTGGTTCAAAGACAGAAAGAAAAGAGAATTATGGGTAAATTCAGGAAAACATACCTAAAGGTTGTGCAGTGATTGTGAGAAATGAAATGGGGGAGTCTACCTAATTAGAAATCATAGGAAATGGTCCAAAATGGCAATTTGTTTTACAAAACCCAGCTAAGACAGATTCTCACTACTGCACACACGTAGCAATGCCACTTGGAACCATGCACAGCACCGAGACACAGCCTTCTCTACTACCTTTCACCTCACTTTTGGCTTTTCTTGATTTCCTCCCCACAAACAATCAAACACCCCAGGTTCACTAGAGGTGCCCATGGTCCAGTCCTTTCCACTGTGAACCACTGTGGCAAACAGTGCCTTGGAAACCCAGTTACAAGAATCTCATTAGTAATACCTAGCTTAAGAACTCAGAAACTAGGATCAAGATGGCCCTTTCCCGAGCACTGCCACACAGATCTGGCTGAGATACCTACAAAGCCATTGGTACCTTGAACTGAGACTTCCCTCTCCCCTCCTGAAGCTGTTAGTGCTCATTTTGTGTGAGGAAAAACTTCTGAATGGGCCTGGAAAGTGGCAGCATTTCCCATGGCTTGTGGGCTGTAAGGCACTTAGGTCACCATGGAAAAGATTCAGAGAGGTCAATGGGTGTTAGCCTGATATCCTGCCCTGTCCCCCATCCCTTGAGGCCAGTAGCGTTCAGATGGGTTTGGAGGATGCTCACCAGTCCAAACAACTTCTTTTTAAGAAGATTATGGCAAAATAAGGGAAGGTAGGTCCAGTGTGTGAGGACCAGGGCAAAAGAAGTAATCTCTGGTTGGGATTCCAAATTCAGACTTTTTTCTTCAAATTCCTTCAACGAGTATGACATGACTTTGTTGACCTTTTCTGTACCCTGGATGCACCTACTACCCCACCCAACAGAAAGAATGCCCATGATACTGAGGTTAAAGGCAGCCTCTGAAGATGATGGTCAACAAGATGGCTGGCTGTTCAGCCAGACTACTGGAGAGAACACATTAAGATAGTAAACTGAAAATATTACAAACCAATGTACAAGAGCCCAGGTGAGCCTTAAGGCCAGATACACTACTGTAGACAGCCTCACAGCCCTGAAAAAGAGAAGCAACAAGTGAGGACTGAACCACACAGAACCCTTCTCTTAGCAATATAGTCATTTTCACTTCCATATTTGGAGGTAGAAGATCAATAGCCAGTGCCACAAACCAAATTACACACACACACACACACACACATACACACACACACACACACACACACACGGCACGGGGGCAAAAAGGAAACAAAAGAAAAGACAATAAAGAGGGTGAACAAGGCTCGAGGGAAGTTTGAGCTGTTTCTTCCCAGGCCTCTCTCTGACGCTCAACAGAACACTATTTCAGAGTTATATTTTAACTACATTTTATTTAGTATAAACATATCAACTACATTTGTATTTATTTCTTCCAAAAGGACTACACTATCAGCCCTGGTACCAATTTTAAAGATAGTGGTGAATCTTTAAATTAAAATCTTTAAATAAATTTCTGCCACTCTATCACAAGAGGGAGAGTCCATTCATCCTTTTCTTTGAGTCTGGGTTAATCCTCCTGTAACGGTCTGAGTAAGAAATGTTCCCCAAGGACTTTTGCCTTAGTCACTGTTCTATTCCTAAGGAGAAACACCACTGACTGAGGCAACTTATAAAAGAAAGCATTTGATTAGGGGATTCCCTACAGTTTCAGAGGCCATAGGCATCATGGTAGGAAGGATGGCAGCAGGCAGGCATGGTGCTGAAGAAGTAGCCGAGAGCTTATATTAGCCACAAACTGGAAGCAGAGCTGGCGCTAACTGGGAAGGGCATGGGAAACCTCCAAGCCTGCCTCCCTGCCCCAGTCACACACCTCCTCCAGCAAGGCCACATCTCCTAATCCTTTCCAGCCTGCCACCTGGGAACTACACATTCAAAGAAATGAACCAGCACAGCTCCCATCCGAATACCTGGTCCCCAGCTGGAGGCACTGTTTGGGGAGGTTGCGGAACCTCTGGGAAGTTGAGCCTTACTGGAGGAAGCACATCGCTGCGGCTGGGATTTAAGCATTCATAGTTTCACTCAACTTCCTGGTTTGCTCTCTGCTTCAAGCTTGCTTTTGAAGATGTGCACTCTTGCTTTCTATTCCCATCGTGATGCCCACCACCTGCTGCTATCCTTCTCCACCACGACAGACTCTCGTCCCATTAGAACCGTGAGCACAAATAGGCTCTTCCTTCTGGTCATGGTGTCATAGCAACAGAGAGGTAACTCATATACCTGTGATGCCTTTGACTAACAGGAAGCTATGGAAGGCTGCTATACAAATTGTGTGATGGGACTGTAAAAGGCTTGAGTCATTTACTTTTGCATCTCAAGTCAGTCACATACATTCCCTACTGGCAATCCAACTATCCTGCAGAGAGAGGCCCTATGGAGGGCCACGCACCCAGCTGAATGTAGCAGTCCGGGACATTCCAGTCCCATCTGAGTGATCACTGGCCCCATGAGTGATCTCAAATGATGCTGTGGAGAGCAGCTAAGCTGTCCTAATGATTCAGGCGGAATCATGGAGGTACCCAATTCTGAGCTAACTAAGTAGCTGCTCCATGCCCCCACTGCAGTTCAAGCACGTTGTCAGGAAGCAATCAGTAATTAATATAGCAGATTCTTAGGAGCATTTACTGATGTGATGAAAGAGTTAGAATCACCTGGTTAGGACACTGGATGCGATGATACTTCTTGATATCCATCTTCCACTTGTGCAGCACTTCCTGGCTGAATGTAGGTAACCCAGGGCGAGTATATTTTAACTAGAACACAAGAAACATTGCATTGCAAGAATCTAGCTCCCAACCAGGACATCCTCAAAGCTTCACACCCACTTTAAAAGGGAGGGAGCATGGTGGTGCATGCCTTTAATCCCAGCACTCAGGAGGCAGAGGCAGGCAGATGTCTGGGAGTTTGAGGCCAGCCTGGTCTACAAAGAGAATTCCAGGACAATCAGGGATACACAGAGAAACCCTGTCTTAGGGAAAAAGAGGGGGGAGGGATTATATTTCTTATCTTCATCATGAATATCTGTGTGTGCCAGTGTGTGGGTTTGTGACTGTGACTGCAGGTGCCTGCAGAGGTCAGAGGAGCACCTTAGATCCTCTGGAGCTTGAGTTCCAGACCGCTGTGAGCTGCTAAATGTGGGTGCTGGGAACAAAACTGGGGTCTTCTGCAAGAGCAGCAAGTATTCTTAACTAGAGAGCTACCATTTCTCCAGCCCCTCAGACCTACTTCTCTAGATGATGTATCTCAGAATCCCCCAAGAACAGTGAATACACAGCAAGAAAAGTCATCTGTAAAGCCTGGCTGCCGATGAAACCTATTTAGTCTTAGACTATTTCCCCATCAGATAACAAGTCTTTCATATGTAGCATTTATTTCATCTGTATTTTAAAAAGGGAAAAGAGCTGATGGCATATACCAGAGAAATACAGAAGCCCATGAGGACCCTATCACAGCACAGAGCTGGTGTGATTTAGAAGCAAGACATCTCCTTAGCAACTAATTTAATTTGCATCTCTTACATCCCTTTGTTAAAGGATGACAGTCAAGAAAGTACTATTTTTAAAATCTACACCATCCTATTGACTAAGTTATACACTATGCAACTATGGAGAAAAAGAATGAGGGTGATCTCTATGAACACTGAAGTGGTTTCCAGGATATACTGTTAAGTGAGCCAAACCAAAGAATAAACATGAATCTAAAGAAAGGAAGAAGGGGATGTAAAAAAAAAAATGCACAAGATTCTGGTAACGGTGCAGGAAGGATAAACAGAAACTAATGAGTGGTTATTTTTTGAAGTGGGAGGGAAAAGGGCAAAATGAGAATGAGAATAATTAGGTAAGTAGTATTGCCCTTTCCAAAACGAAACTGTTCAAGCAGGTCTGCTTTAGAACTATGGCAGCATTCCATACACTGGTGGTTGAATGGCAATGGCCCCACAGGTTCATATTTAATACCTGATCTTATGGTGTTTTGTCATGACAAAAGAAAAGTAACCAAGACACATATACTCAAAACTAAAAGATAATTTAAACTTAATAATATGTCAGGGAACCCCAAAAAATAATGGCAAAGGAACTTGTCAAGATTAAAAAACAACTTTGGAGCACAACATTGCGGCTGTATAAGGCTGGAGATAACACAACCGGAACAACCACGACTCTCCAGCTAGGAGGTGCGTTCTTTGAGAGGTACGTACACACAACTCTGAAACAACCTGATGTTCACGCACTTTAGCAGCACTGACCATGGTATACGAAGACCAAAGCCAGATATTCCACTGCTGGACAAGGAGTGATGAATAGGATAGAGGGCTGGAAAGGAACTGGTCATGTAGGGATGGAATTTAAAGTAGTATGTTTTATAATCCGCACAACCCTGTGTGTGTTCAATGGTGGCAGTAGTAGCGGTAGTTTGAGATGCCCCCCATATTCTCAGGCATTTGAATACCTGGTTTCCCCCCAGGCCCCTCCCCGTTTGTCTGTTTGTTTTCCGAGACAGGGTTTCTCTGTGTAACAAGAGCCCTGGCTGTCCTCAACTTACTTTGCAGACCAGACTGGCCTTGAACTCTCAGAGATTCACCTGCCTCTGCCTCCGGAGTGCTGGGATTAAAGGCTACCACTGCCCAGATGAATACCTGGTTTCAAGATAAATACACTGTTTGGTTAGGTTTAGGAGGTGTGGCCTTATTGGTGAAAGGATGTCACTGGGGCCAGGCTTTGAGGTTTCAAAAGCCTTGCATCATCCCCAGTGAACTGTCTACTGCTTGCAGCTTGAGATATGCGGGCTCCCAGCTGACCCTGATGCCATGCCTCCCTGCCAGGAGAATGATGGACTCTTCACCCTCTGAAAATGTAATCCCAAAATAAACTTCCTCTAAAGTTACCTTAGTCATGGTGTTGTATCAAAGCAATAGAAAAGTAACTAATAATCTCTGTTTGTGTCTGTGTTTGCACAAGCGTGAACACGAACCCATATATATACAGTATGGCTCTGCACTGACAGGATCCAGGAGCAATGAAAGCCAAGTAGGAATGAACATACTTGGCACCCATATCTTCTTTTCTAAATACATTCTCTTAATAGGAACCAGAATTTCTTACAAAAATGGGTAATTTCAAACATGTGGCAGGAAAAATATAAGCAAATCTTTCACTACCTTATGGTATTTAAAATATATATAGGTTGGAAAGTTGGCTCAGAAATTAAGAGCATTGATTAGTCTTTCAGAGGAATGGGGTTCTGTTCCCAGTACATACATAACGAATGATTCACAACTATAATTAACTCAAATCCTAGGAGATCTGTTATCTTCTGGCTTCTACAGGCACCAGGCATGCACGTGATACAAATATATACATGCAGGCAAACACTCACACAGATAAAGTAAATATATTTTTGTTTTGTCATTTTTATTGTTGTTGTTTTGTTTTTTTTTCCCAGGACAGGGTTTCTCTGTATAGCCCTGGTTGTCTTAGACTCACTCTGTAGACCAGACTGGCCTTGAACTCAGATTATCCGCCTGCCTTTGCCCCTTGAGTGCTGGAATTAAGGTGCCACAACACCCAATACATTTTTTAAGTTTAGGTACAACAGAAGAGTTAAGAGTCTACTTGACAGACCTCTGAATACTCAATCAGGGCCTATTGGAGCAGAAAGAGAAATGCTACTAACAATGACTTACAACCAATAGAATAAAATTAAGTATCTAAAAGAGTAAGTCTCTATGCAGAGCAAAAGGTTCTACATTTGCTGATTTATCTGACTGACACTCATGAAGCTTTAGTGTGGGGTGGTAAGATTGCTGAGTAAAGGCACCTACACCAAGCCTCAGAACCCGAGCTTAATCCATGGGACCTGCGTGGTGGAAGGAAAGAACAGACTCCTTCAAGTTGCTCTCTGACATCCACATGCACCCCTCCCCATGAATAAAATATCATTAAAAATATATAAAGACCATGTATGGAAAGTAGTTTTGAGCATCCATAAGATGTTTGAGCATTCATAGATATCATCATTTGTGATATTCATAAAACATCATCATTTTCTAACACTAATTCCTCATGAACTATGAGGAAACACTAATAAATTTTCTGATATTAATAAATTAACATGAAAGATTTTTCTCACAGTACGATTTCAATGAGTAACTATAAAAGTGATGAAAGAAATGAAAGTTTTTCACTAAGTAACACTATGGTATACTTATTGTAGGAAAGGTTTATCAATGAATGTTGACCAAAGTGGGTATAGTATGAGATCTTTAGGTAGGCTTGGTCTCTACCCAAACTGTGCACTAATTAAGAGGACCAGCGTAATCTTATCACTGAGTTACCTGGAGATACAACCTTGTCAGCTGATCAGTTATCACCAGCAGTAAGTTTTCACTGATCAAAGCAGCACCATATACCTTCTGACTGGATGTACCAAGAAGGTCCAACATTGCCTGGGTAGTATTCCTACAAAAACCATATATCCTTCAACCCAAGCTCAAGAGAACACCACATAAATCCACATTGGGAAAACTTCTACAAAACACTGAGTGTCAGTGACACACTGCCTTACCTTCCGGTCATCGGGTACCAGGTCCTGGAGCACCTTCCTCTTGGGCCATTCCTTGGTCAGTTCAGCGGAGGCAAGTTCCTGCAGGTGGTACACAGCTATCTTGGCAGAACGCCGCTGAACTCGGCCTCCACCCTTCGCCTCCAGACTCATCTCCTTTAAACAGTCTGGCTGTCCTGATTCTGGAAAGAAGACCTGCAAAAGAGAGGCATGAAGACAGGGCTGACAAGTGGCTTCAGTCGCAGCCAGTGATTTAAACATGATGCCCTTCTTGGCGGGATAAAATCTGTGGCGCTAGCACAGTCCCCTACCGCACATGAAGGATAAGGTTGTGGGAGACTGATCCCCCAACCCACACTACCACATTAGAAAGACAGGCGCAATGGTGCACTCCTGTATCACACCACTAGAGGAGCTGAGACAGGAGGGTCTCTGGGGCTTTCTGGCTAGCTAGCTGGGGGCTGGGGGAGTTGCTGGGAGCTGGAGGGGCTGAGGGGGGTGCTGGGGGCTGCCTCCACAGTCTAGATGAGAGCATTCAGGGTCTTCCTACAGGCAACAGCAGAGGGCGCGGAGAGGACTGGGCAACACACAAAGAGCTCCAGGTAGAGGACAGGAAGGTCCCTGAGCTTATGTCTAGCCAAAAGATGAAAACATGGGTCTCAGGCTATTATCCTCAATAAATCACACACACACACACACACACACACACACACACACACACACACACAC